ATTGATCGAAAAGCGCGATACCTCGAGGGAAAACCCCCGCATTTCGAGGTGTTCCCTCCCCGAAAGGAATCAATAGCCGAGGGAGATGTTCCAACCGTGCTCGTTGCGTGTAAAAATGTGACAGACTCTGAGAATCTCTGTACTCGACATTTCGGAGTCGTATTCGAATTTTACCTTAAGTCACTCATTTACATAGATGCGAAACCTTGTTAAGAAAAGCCAAGTCAATCGATTGCGTAGATAATCGTTCCGGAGTGCGTTGGTATGAGCTGCGTTTGTCGACTACGTGACGTCAGCGGATACGAGTATTGAGGAAGCCAGGGTTTAGCCGAAATGGCAGAATAATACCTTAACCTCCGAGCTCCGGCGCGAGGATGAGGCATTAAATCCTCTCACTATACATAGATATATATTCGATCATCCTGTCAGTATATGTACACGCGCGGGACTGGGGTAGTTTTAAGTAATGCTATCGGTTTTATCGAGAGGATATTCATCGAACTTGGCCCGCCGTACGATATCGGGGAGGACTCATAGATCGGCGCTCCTCTTTTTCCGGCCAGTGGGCTGTAAGCCACGTGAGCCGGGGTCTGAAAATGCGGGTCGGCGAGGATCATTCCTCGTTCCTCGTTGTTAGTTGTGAGTTTCCAGGGTCATCTCATCGACTCTCAGAAAGAATATCCATTTCACCGAAGTAGACCATGATTTATTGAATCCCTTCCTACAGAACCTTCCGGCACTTCGATGCATGACTTGACAGGGGAGACATGTTTCTATACCAGGATGTAGCGTACCCAGAATGGGATGGAACATAGGAAGCAAAGAGGGGTCAGGACCAATCAGGGGAGGAAAGAACAGAGAAACTGGATCGCGAATATGGCGATCCGCAATATCGGGAGCTCCTCCTCCGTACGCAGCTGATTCAACACAATTCTTACGGTTCCGCATCCGGCGCGACTTAGAGACAAATGCCGCGGGATTTTTTCAGCAATGAGTCCACAGAGGAAGAAACCGTGACTCGAAGCGAGACAGCCGCCATGGCCGGCGTGTTTGGCTTCATACCTCAAAATGAAGGCGGAACTGCTGACCCCATCTACTCGCACCTCGTAGAATCCAATATCACCATCTTCGACGAGGTAAGTGGCGGAATCTAAGGTCGCTCGGATAAGACCTCTGAAGACCCCTCGTTTCCTCAGAGCGCCAAATGTCTTGGCTTGGGATTTCGGACTTGGGCTCACGATGCGCAGTATCAACGAGCATCCGGAATACCCCGACGGGTAGGTCATGCTGCTGATGCACTCAGCGAAACCGTTCGCGTCGACTCCGCAAGACTTGGTTACGTCAAAAACTCTCATCCTGTGGGCGCGGGTTCTCGCTGTACTTCCGGATGATCGCAGCCCACGTCGACCCTGCTCCGCTAAGCGATCAATCGGAAGTGATCGACTGCTGTCTGGGTCGTAGCATGAGAAGTCTCTCATACCCGGAGAGGGACACAAAGCCCTCTCTGCCTTTGTGAGTCCGTGATTCGGAAACAGAGCGCAACCCATCAGGTAACATGATCAACCCCCAGAGAGTCCTCATCCCTTCCAATCGGGCTGATCTAGCGAGCGGGGCATAGTCCTTGTAACCATCGGAACCTTAGGTACATGGCCGATCTTAGGGGATGCTGAATGGGGTCGACCCCTCGGCTCGAACCGCTTGCATCCATTCTTCAGACTATACACTCGCATTGTTTTTTATCCGCCCCGCACTTCTTTAAGGAGATATCTGAGTTCGGGGAGCTTTCCGGGCTCGAACGGGCTCTAATGATCCACTAAACTGGATGGATAGAGCTCAAAGAAAGCTGATAGGCTGAATAGCCGATTGGGACATATCGAGGAGCATGCTTATTATTTGATCGTTCATTGACCATTGCCTTCTCGGAAGTAACTCGAAGAGAAGGAAATAAGAATACTTATAGGAATCCAATGATTCACTCTATTTCCACGGGGAGCCGACGGCGGAAGTTCATCGTTATTTTCTCCGATTTCGGGCTTCGGGTCGATAGAGATGATCGACCCATTCCGTAGTTTATCGACTGGAGGTCGACGAAGAGCGCTTCGAGTCGGATATCTCGCTCCTACCAACACAACACGGAGTCTATTTTCGCAGACGAAGCGCAGTGGTGTCGAATCAGTGTGGAGTCTTGGTTGAGTCCCGCACCAGTCTCCGGGGAGTCCCTCTGAGGTTCCGGCGGAACCCGATCCATGTACAGCTTCCTCGACACACGGTCAGGGGATTGCTCCAGGGAATTGAGTTTCCTTGACGTCTTTGAGGATGCAAGATCCGACGTCGGCTCCTCGGTCCGAGGGGACGAAAAACGATGCAGCGACGCAGGAAGCGCCAGACCTCAATGCCGTCGATTGACATCGATTACCGCTACCAGCGTCGCGGAGCCGGTCGTGAATAAGGGAAGAAAGTGCTTTAGAAAAATGTGGGTCTCAGGGGATGTCCAACGCTTATATTATCAATAGGAGAGGATCGCCTTCGCATGTTATGATAAGATGATAAGTCATGATAAGATGCCAAGCTCAAATTGAGGAAGACATCGTAATATTTGGATTTCTGAATGACAGATATCTCCTGGTCTGTGGTATAGTGTCGCTTTTAGGCCTCAGCCGTCTGCTCATCGGTCAAACCCAGCCGGCCACGAGTGAACACGAGAACTGGTGCCCCTCATATACCGTAGATGAAGCCTTGATTGAAATACCCGTGGGACAGAAACTCGCAACGGACCTCAGTTTATTGAATGCGTTCGTCGAAACGCATCCCGGTGTCGTTTCTGGATATTTCGAAGTGAGTTCTTCCGGTTTTCTTGATGTAGACAATTTCCCGGCGCAAATAAACTACTTCTCCCCGCTGCTCTTAACCAGTATGATCTGAATTTCAACTTGTGGTTTTCGCCTCAGTTCAGGAGCGGTAAAGTTCAAGGGAGAGAATCACGAGTTCAGTACATGTACATCGTGGACATCGGGTCGCATTCCTATACATTCCTCATCACGAGGGACGACTTACAATACGTGCCGATTCAAGTTCGAAGCATAACGAATCGAAGCCTGGCGCTTAGGTATGGTCTGGTTCACAGGATGTTTCGAAATTTACGGATTCAATCACAATGTTACTATGATAGGGGAACGAGGTTCAGGTCTCTTACGCGATCTGATGAGGACGATGAGACACGGATGCGCATCCGCAGTCGACGACTCCGCGTGAACGCGTCTTGCGGGATCCTTTTTTCCAGGCGTGTAATCGGGTCTCTCGACTACTTACGCAACGGCATATTGCTACACGAATATCAAGATGATCAATACACGAAGCATAGGAGAGGCAGAAAGGATCGCTTATCCTCAGACCACGACTGGCACGTCATTCTGAGAGGCTTCAGCTCGAATCAATCGATGCACATAGATCTTTGCGACCAGATCCATTGCTTGCTGAGCAACTTCTCACTACAGGTAGGGTCGACACCGCTAGAAACCAATTCCGAATCGAATTTCAGAGCTTACGGAAAACACTCCCTACTGCTTGCCTACCGACGATTGCCGGAGCGTACCACATATCGCATCTCCGTGATAGTTTCGGCTATGCTTCTGCTTGATCGCTTGAGCCCTGAGGAAAGTTAAATAACTCCCATATTTCTTCCATTGGCGGTTTCAGCTTGAGGATCCAAGGTTTGCAAGCTCACTGACTGTCACGGAGCTGCGATTCGATATTGATTTCGTCGAGCCGTACGCCGTCGAGAAATCCGAGCTCTCAGTGTCATGCATACTGTACGACTCTTCGGATCAATATTGTCGTCTGGATGAAGATAGTGCTGTGCCAATGAAGTGCACAAAGCCGAGACATTTCTGATGTTCCCTCACCATAAGCGAGAAAATCATCTTCTGAGCGATAATTCTGAGGCGACTCCAGGCTCGGTATGGTGGAGGGAAGGAGCGCGAGCTGTTACACCATGGTTCTCCGATTCTGTCGAAACACATAATTAATAATCAAGTATAACTATTATAGCTAACATTATAAGAATATCATTGTTAGCTGTTATTATATTGTTAGCTAATATAATCATTAATTAAAAAGGAATAATTACGCTTCCCAAGTCGAGAGGTCATTCGAAAACTACCGCAGGTCGAATATATAATACAATGTCTGTCTGTGGTGTGCCCTACAGACTCCTGAACGGCCACACCGATCGCCGTGAAAATTGAAGAGTGGCTTCTTGGGAGCTGTCGGGAGCGTATGGGGAGGGGTCCTCGTTTTCATGTGATTCACTCTTTTATCTTCAGAGATGGAGGTTGGAAGGGTGGAAATTGGAACGGGAGAATGAGGAGCGAGGCAAATGCGGGGAGGGGGAGCTGGTCACCGGGCTACGGAGCACGAGAAATCAGAAAAACGGGACAGCGGGCAAGGGAGAGACTGGGTAACACGGGGGAACTGGGAAACCGGTGAGCGGAAACACCGGTCAACGAAGAAGTTTGGAAGGTTGAGGACGGAAGACCGGTGGAGCGGGAACACCGGAAACGGTGTGTAGGGAAGGCATACTTGGTTCTGTTATGGGGTCCGATATGATTTTCGACGCGACTTGATGAACTCCCGAGACCCATTACTCTCTTCTTCTATCCTGATCAAGGGATCTCGGATTATAGCCGTTCTCAGGTATCACCCGCTCAGTGAAGTCATGACCCCTAAGTCACTTTCACGGGCTATCCGCAATAACAGAGCGTACTCGAGGGCAGATCGCGTTCTGTATTCGAGAGCTACCCTTGGAGCATTGGCTCCTTGAATCTTCGAAACAAGAGATGGCCCCTCGTCATCGTGAGCACCCTCCACTTGTCGTCCCCCAAGCCTTCTGAAAGAGCATGGAAATCATTCGAAGGAGAGATTTATTGAAACCACACTTTAGGATGGGCCCATCATACGAATGACATCAGCTGACTTTTAGCGGGTCTGTCATGGAATCAGTCTCAGCAGTCACATATCCTCCGGTGTGAGACCTTGTCTGGAAGGAGCAGAATCGCTTCGATTAATGATTCACGCGTACCATGCATCTGATATCGGAGTAAACCCTTGGAGTATTCACCGTTTGGGAATTTCGAAATCGATGGAGTGAATCGAACCAACCTTGTTCATCCTGGCTGTCCTCGAATTTGTCGGGCAGCGGTTTGCCATAGGTTTCCTTCAATCGAGTAGACAGCATCAAGGCCACGAGCGACGCCACTGAATTCAGGATGTTTTCGTCGAAGACATCTTGTTCGTGCGAGAATGGTGAAAGTATGGACCCAATACGGGACGCTGTGACACAGGACCCGAGCGCTAAACCTCTCATTCTCGTAGGGTATATCTCATTAACGTGAATGCCTAGAACAGAGGAAGCGATCTGGACCCCAGTTTTGGCGAGCGTTGCCAAGATCATAAGGGTCACAGAATCGGCGTCCGGATACATGGAGAGAAGCGCGCAGCAGATGACGGTTACAGAGTTTGTGAAGCAGTGCAAAGTTCTCCGATTGAAGTACTTCACGGAGGGATAAATCAGGATGAGGGTGGGAATTTCGAAAATCCCAGCCCACTGTTGATTTGCGAATAAACCATCCGTGTCCAGAGCTAGGATGGCATACAAAAGATTGTAATAGACAAACGTGCTTATCGGGAAGAGAATGAAGAAGATCGATGTCGTTATGGCAGGCGTCCACGCTTCGAACAGATTCGCCAGTGTCACTCTGGACTCGGCTAGAGTCGCTCTACTCTGTTCAGCAAGAGCCCTCGACAGAATCTCATCGAGGTCGTCAGTCATTTCCTGCATGTCGCTTCGGACCAGAATCCGCGTCAAAACGGTCTTTGCTTGGTCTACCTTACGCATCGCGATCAACCATCGCGGCGATTCGTCTACCAGCCAGATCAATACTAACATAGGTATCGACGAGAGACTAATTGCAAACTGGAAAAACCTCCAATCGTGGATGAAGAGAGGGAAAACAGGAAGGATTATCATACCCATAACCCAGCCGAAATTCGCCCCCAGAGCCAGGAGGGCTCTCTCTTTTGGGTTCGTCGACTCCATACTTAAGGTTATGGGTCCATTTTGGTTCCCACCCAGTCCAAAAGCTGTGACCATCCTCGTGGAAATCCAGATCGGGAACGATGGCGCCAAAGAGCACGCTATGCCGCCTCCGAGAATGCATAAATTGGAGGAGAGGCACGTCGTTCTACGACCATACCAATCAGAGATATGCGAAAACATGAAATTCCCCACCATGATGCCGAGCATCAACGCACTCTGTGCCCAGGCCCGGAGCCATTTGCCTCCGCACACGGCGCTGAACTCGGCGACGAAGGTATTCGTTTCATCGAATTCCCACGCGACACAGCTCTCACCCGAGCCCGCCGAGTCGAGATGGCACTGATCGGACCCGTTGTGCAGACGCTTTCCGGAATCGTCGACGCACCAGTAAGCGGTTGTCTCGGGTGCGATAATGTTCAATGAGCAAATGAAGAAGGCGGGCGGAACCCCGCTGTAGAATAGCATCAACAGGACAGGGCTCCACTTGTGGGTGCGGGTCTTCACTAGAATATCGTCCATGACCGAACTTCGTTTTCAGACGAATTCTCGAGATCGACGTCGGCGTCGTCTGGAAGGGTCCGCCGATGAGGAGGGAATCAGCAGCAAGCGGGATCTCCGAGTCAAGATAACATCCGATCATTCTGGCGCTGAGTACACTGCCACCACCCGGAGATGAACATCTCACGCCCCGTTATTGCGTCTCGGCCGCTTGCCGCGCCTTGATTCCTCGCTTCTCACGTATAGAATAGATCGATGGAAGCAGTCCCGAGGGCGATCTTTCTGAATGAGATAGTTCTCGTCAGCTGCTCCGAGTAGCTTTTTTTCGGCGGAACCCTATCTTGATATCGCTCCTCTGTGATCGGCTCACTGTTCTCGCTTCGAGAATGAAGTCTGACGGCAACTCTGACGAAATCTGGGATGACCTTGGGGGAGGCTAGCCTTACGCTGATTCGTAGGTTGAACACGGAACTCGCTGAGATCCACCAGCGATCGTCTTCTCAAGTCTATCAATACACTCGTGGGACACCGAAGAGCCGTGCGGCCCGAGCGCTGTACTTTTTCGCGACTCATTTCTTGTCACTAGATAGAAGAGTTTGAATGTGGTCAGCTCTAACTAACACATGGACACTCCGACCAACACAGCGCTTCTAGAGTACGGTTACCCGAACGATTGCTATTGTGCGGAACCTCGTGACCTTGAATGTGCTACGTCAATGGAAACTCACGAGATCGAGTCTCTGTCGCTTGACATGCAGAAGCTGCCAGTGGATGGATATGCGAGGTTCCTGGTCAATACGTCTGAGTGAGACCTGGCAGAGGACTATGAGGCTAACACGGTTGGGCATTGCTGTCAGAACTGAGCCCTCTCCCTAGCGGAACCCCCTTGTCCGTGAACCGATTCGGAGGAGAATATCGATGTGGAGTCGGACGAGTCGGAAATCAACTATCAACTCCCCTCCAACATTCCCGGGTCGGCGTATTTTCGCCGCCGGACTCGGCGAATCCGGACATTCGTCGACTACCGTGCGAGAAGACATGCAGCAAAATAAATATCCTCTACTCAGAAGGCTTCTGGATATGAGCATGCGCTCCCCCCTGTGAGTCCGCTCCCCTCACGGTGAAGCAATCGAACAGCCGAGACGGATCGAACCTTTTGGGGAACCAAGTCCATATGGAATTTTGATCCCAGTCCCGGATCCTGGGGGTGAGTGAAGATCCGACGAGCTCCTCGGCGAATGGAAACGGACCCTTCTCGTTCCAGGAGACTCGTGCGAAGGAATTAGAGCCGATCTGCTGTTGGACGACCGGACATTTTCGATGAAAACGGAAATTCGAGATCATCCAGTCACACTGGTTACTATTCGACCACCTGCATGCGTGTTTTCTTTCGCTCATCTGGAATTCTTCCGGGAGCTCATCTCCGGGAGCTCCCCAGTGCCCCCTCTTCTTCCGACTGTAGCCTCACCGCTTGATGTTTCCGACTGGGAGGCGCTCCGCCAATCGTCTCTGAACAGGACGTTTAACCATTTCTCAGATATTCAGCCGAGCAGACTTCGAGGGAAGCTACATAGGTGCCCCAGCAAAACCCTTCACCAAGGTAAATAATAATCGCGTATCATTCTTTTGCGTGGAGGATTGCCCGCGAAATCCACGAGTGTGGAATTCCAGTATTTTTACAGCTTGGCGGATTTTGTCGTCCCCGCGGGCACTGTGCGCGAACTCCTGATCGAAAAACGGGCAAGTCGTTCCTATTGAACGGGGACTATTGAAATGATGGATGAGGCCGGCGATAGACGTGAGATAGAAGAGCACCCTTCCCGCTCCGAGCGGTTCCTGATCTTGGTTCCGAAGAAGCTTCGCCAGAGGAAGGCGTCCTGCTCCCCAGTCCATAAGCCGGAGTCGGGGAAAGGCCTTCATACAGGGTCCTCGCCTATCTCTCGTCAAGATATCCTCGACGGGCACACTGGCTGCGATTCCTGGACTCCCGAAACTAGTGGGGACGGCCACGCTCGAATAGGAAATTCCCAAGGTAGGTGAAACCTGTCTGATAAGACGTACTCCGGGCTATCCAGGAAGAGGTCTTTTATTGAGATAGTCTTATTGGGCAGGTCCTCTCGCGTGGGAGCAGATAGATTCGGAGCTCGGAAAGACAAGGTCTGACACCTCAGGTGGTCCGATTATTATGGGAATGCTCCTGTACTTGAGCCATCCTCAGGTCCCTGTACTTGAGCCATCCTCAGGTCCCTGTACTTGACCCATCCTGGCGGGCACCTTGCTGGCCCCCACGGGAGTCCTACGTTGAATAAAGGGCGCATCGATTCGCGAAATATTGATTTATTCGATCAATTATTATCAATGCTCAGTCGACAAATCGTCGGGAGTCTCGCCGAACGACCTTTTCCGTTGCGAGAAAATAAATAGAAGATATCTAAGCTTGGGAAGCAGCATCAAATATCGATATTTTCAAAATCGGCGCAGAAATCATCTTCAGGCCAACTGTGGCTGAGCCTCATCCAGGATTTTCCGAGCCGAAATGTAGTCTTCGTTCTCCTCGAGGTCTTTCTCACTGCTTAGGAGGGCTGGAATAAAATGAGCGATTCAGTTTCCGAAACAGAGCCAGAGACCGAGATGTGCGTCACCGTTATCCTGAGACTTGAATTATACTCTAAGCGATTCATGGCAAATAGTAGTCACCTTCTAATTCCTCCCAAGCAGTAATGAGTCTCTTACGACAGTCTGGAATCATCATCTGGGACTCCAGGATGACCTTCTCCTGAGAGGAAAGGGAAATCGGTCAAGGAGAGATCCACGATTCAGAGGACAAAGCGGCATTTTGGAGAGTCCTCTCAGACTTCCGAATGATATGCGCCTCGCGGAGCGGCTCTTGGCCGCGACTTGCAGGAACGCGGTGGGGAGGGCGGAGAGGGAACCTACCTGCAGCTTGATCCTATTTTCTTCTTGGCCCTCAGACTTCATTTTGGCGAGACGCTCTTCCTCGCGCACAGACTCTTTCTGGTAAGCAACGACCTCTTTAGCCAAACGGTTCACCGTTCCAGACTTGATTTTGATTGTCCGGAGCCTCGGGTCGGGTTTCGAAGACATTCTCTCGGAGTGACTGTTCGCTCGGAGATTATCGAACGATTTATACACGCAGACCTAATCTGGAATTGAGAAGCGAAACCTCTATGGGATGAAGTACGGAATGGGGAGTCAATTCGGTCATCCTCTCGAAGGAGGAAGTTCGGAGCATTCTGAGCTCTTGGAATTTCCCGACGAAGTTGAGTCAGCATTCGGCTAGAGATTCTCTCACGCATGATCGATTCAGTCGGATGTCGGAGGATGGAAAGATCGACTGGATCCGAAAGGTGATCTGCGATGAGCCTCTAGGCCTCCAGCAATGGGTCAATCAAATTTCTGAGACACATAGTCAGCTTCGAGAATTTCGGCGTTGTGTAGCTCCCCCTTTCTCCCGGAATCTCTGAGGGGTGTGGACACCAGAACATTCAGGGAGGGGGAATACACGAGCCGCTATAATCATTAGCGAGGATCAAGATAGTGGATGGCGGGATTCCGCGCGCGGACGGCCAGAGCTCTCCGACGAGCGTGAACTCGAGCCATGCGCGGAATCCCCCCCATCCCGGATACACGGCCGATTGGACCAACTCATCAGAATCCTTAGTGAAACATAATGACGGGCGACGTGTCAGAAACAATTCTCTTCAGAACGTCAAGAAACGTCTCCGGAGTCTCCAGATATGACGGAGCCCCTGGTGCTGATGGGAGACTCCTGACTTGCTCTTTCAAGCGCCTGTCCTGGCCCTGAGCGAGGAACTCTTATCGATTAGAGACAAACGTCAAATCAAGGAACCGCAAGAAAATGACCGCCACGAACAATGGGAATGAGGACCGCCTTCGATGCCGAAGTCAATTATCGCTTGGATTGTTTCGCGAAGAGAAAGCCAATGTGTTACTCTCTTGGGATTTCAACTGACCTTACTTGTCGAATGTCGCGATTTTCACGGCTTGTCAATGTGAAAAACCTCTCAGGTCGAAATAGGAAAAACTTCGGCTTTCATTCAGTTTCGGTGTGCCGCTGCTGTGGTTCGACAGCTCTCACACTCAATATTTGGTGAATGATGTCCTCACCGCGCTGATCTTGCTCGGCTGCCTTGTGCGGCTGCGTCGCGTCGCCTCGTCCTCCTCCTACGACGCACGGAGCACTACTGTACGAAATGATCAATAAATAATTAATTAAGAATGGGAACGCGGTGGGTTCTAAACATCGGTCCAGGTTCTCCGTGAAGGGCAACAATATTGTGGCTGATCAGATCCGGATGACAAGGGCCATTCGAAGTCGTTCTGCATCGCTTAAACACTCTTGCTTACGTGTGAGTGAGTCTGATCGAGTGGAGCGGGAGCTCGTCGATGATTCAAGTCGTCTCGATGTTGTAATGAAGAAAGTTCTGGCTCGAGCTTGAGCATCGCTCACGACGCGCAGTTGAATCATGCCGTCGCCAACCAAACACGCCGACTGAGGCGATAAACTGAAGTCCTCTAGAGATGATGAGGGCGCTCCAATGGGAACCCCTCAGCAAGCATCCAATGCACAGCGATGTTTGCGGTACCGAGACCACAAGAGGCCATATACACCATCGCGATTCTTGTGGGGACAGACAGAGCCTGGGAGGTATGTGTACATGGTAGATATCCATTCCGATCAGAAACGGTTCAAGAAGCTCCAAGAGATCCTTGAGGAGTGGGGGTTATTCCTTTTCAGAAGTTCTCTCAATGTATTGCTCCCCGGGAATGAATTCGCACCGGTGAGCCGTGGAGCGGAGGAAGTTTTTACTGTCGCCCAGCTGCGGTCCCATACACTCATTCCCGCGGTTTTTCCGGATGGCCGGGGCACCGCACTGAATCCCGATCTCTGGATCATTAGGTTCTAATGCCGCCACGCGGGGAATTCTAAATTCCCGCACCCCGAGTCCGACGTCCTTTTCCCGCCGAGCTGTTTCCGTCTCGAGCCAGACAGAAAGTTCCAGGAATTGCGACGATGCAATGACTTCGAGGATACAGCCGCAGACTCTGATTCAGAGCGCCGTATTCATTGATCGACTGTATTGCTTGGCACCCATGGATTCTCCGAGGATATCATATGTTTTGTTAAAAAGAGTGTGAGCATGCATTGCGGAGCAACGGCGCGCCGCCGATGCGGCGACCACAGGCCGGGTTTGCGGTCGGTGTGTCCGACGCGGAGCGCCGCTAGCGATCGTGGGAACGATTCATTTCTAGGCGAAAATATCGTCAATCACAAGTCAATTCATTCATATGCCTCCAAGGGCTCGCGCGGCATTCGCTCTCGCTGTTTACCCACGAGGGATGTATGCCTCTTCCGATTGAGACCTGCTCACGGGAAAGGGCGACGGGACAGAAAAACTGCATGCACATGGGCGTCAAGATGCATTTCTCGCTGGTGAAGATTCGAATCATTCTAGATCGTTTCTGCGAGAGTCCTGAATCCGTGAACTCGAGGTGGAGCAGATTGAAGTCATTATGAGGTATCGCCCGCTTCTGTTCTGAAGCCCAGCAAAGATCACTGCCATCTTCACCGAGCAACAGATTCCGTTTCCGTAGACTTTTATCTCGCGCACCTTTTCGTACTCGGCTTGGCTCAGGACTCAGGACACAAGTCCCACGACTTTGCGGTGCCTCTCTAATCTAGCGAGTGGGAATTACGCTCCAAGCATAGAACCGTACGAGAGTAAGCCGGCTATACGGAAGCACTGTTAGGAGGAGGTAATTGAGTGAGCCGTATCAGGAAGGAATATCATGCCGTACAAGGCACATATCTCGTCTATACGCATGCAATGTGTGGCCGTGATGGGATTTCCGCTACCACACCTGAGCTCCGACTATATCCCCCCGGTTAGCTCCGAGCGTCATCGCGTCCCCGCAACAGGATCGCGCTTTTTTTCTTGAAAGTTTACGGGAGTTCACTCCCCCTCCGGGACCTCATGAAAAGGCCGAGCGGCTGAAAGATCCCCCAAGCCAAGTTCAGGACGAAATATCTCATTTTCGCGAAATTCGAATTCATAATCCATCGACTTACATCGATGCCTCGACGTGAGGTCGAGCGTTAAGAGTCGGACCGAGTCATTCGATCCCATCGCCGCAATCGACATCCTTATGAGGTCCCGAGATGTTGCATTAGTCTAAACTCTGTTGCCCCCTTGCATTGCACGGTCGAGTCGAGGTCTTGCCTTCGGTTCTGCTCTGGCCGCTTGTTGCGAGCATTCCAGACATACCTCGAAAGTTCGTTGGGAGCTCGAAATCGCGCGCCACTCCGAGCTTTGTTTTGATTGAATAGGAACCCGCGAACAGATATCCAAAGCTCTGAAAACAGTCACTTAGCGGGATGCGCACTTGAGCTTTCTGTGCCTCGATGTCGTACAGTCTCCTCAAACTGTCTCATTTCTTCAATTTTCCAGTCCACCTCATGGAATTTTCTCTCTCGGGGGAGTTTTGATGCTCAGACTTAAGAACGAGAACTTAACCGCGATACCACTGACGAGGGCAGACTTCCCCCTGTAGAATCACTCGGTGGGCGATACGAGAGCCGTCTCGATGTCGGCCGATCTCAGAATGAGGTGAGGGAACTTGTCGAGTTGAAAAAGCCCGGAGAACAAGAATGAACTCAGGAGGTCACATCATTGAATTCTGTTCGAGCAGAGTTTGCGCCAAAGAGAGCATTTGCCGCCATTTTGTTTTTGGAGTCGACCGCACCATGCTTATCGACGCTTGTGAGACGCAGAACGTTTGTGATCCGAGAGCTGTAGTGTTTCATGAGGAGGATCGAGGAGTGAAACAAGTCGTGTAAATTGGACTCAAATATACGGTGTACGACTTCGGAAAACATTGGTCTATGTAGGTGAGTGCGTCACGCCCCCCAGGCTGTGTCATTGGATGGATGACAAGCCGTGACAGTTGAATGTAAAGGTAGTTCCGAGAAGCGATCCCTTGGTTGACAGCGGCCGCCGGCCCGAGCCCTACGCGAGTCTCCGCGACTTTGACATTTAGGAGTTGTATTTTTTTTCGACAAACCCTTGGCCAGCGGGGAGCTCGCTGTGCCCTCCCGGCAGTCCCTTGTCGGAATCGCACGGGATCCAGCGCATTCCAGCGGCTCAACAGCTGTTTCTGGATAGCGCGGGCATGAAACTCTGAAGAAACGATCCGCGTTTAGGAGCTCTCGCGATGGAAACGCTCATCTTTTGAACGCTAGCCCCGCCGGACAGCGAGACTTCTCGGAATGCTATCTGGATCAGCGGTCGTTCCTCCTCTGGAAGCTCTCGGAGTGGACTCGTTGAGTGCTGAGAATTTGACGGTCAAGGTGGCTTCGTTCGGGGTCGCCGCTCAGCAAACGATAAAGGGTTGAGATTCACCTCTCCAGTGAAGGCTTCGAATTCTTCTCTGCTCGAGCTGGCTCTGGATGAATTTATCTCTCGATATTCCTCATTGAAGGAACTCGGCCGATTCGTAAATTATTAGAGTTCCTAAATTCCGAACATTTTCATTTTCCGACTCTCGAATAAGGATAGATTCGATTGCGGCATTCTTATTCTAGTCGTTCCCACATCGTCCGGCGACAGGGAAAACTCATCGGAGGCGATTCCCTCGTCGATGTAATCGTCGGTCTTGGCTCTTGCGGATTGGATAGATATGAAATGTCCGGAATTTAGGAACTCTATAAATTATTCGATCAATCGTTTAGTCTCTAAGTAATCCATTCATCAATTAATCAGCCCTCCGTTTCGTATAACCTGCGCCGTGAGCAAAATTAGAAACAGGTGAATGCGGGAAATGCTTCAGACAGACGCGTTATGCGGGTCGCATTCAAATGAGTCACGCGTTTCTGCAAAACTAATGTGGTTTCGAAATGTGAATTTCTGTGTTGTGGTCAACGATCGGCCTTGTCTGAGTCTAAGTCATTTCAGTTACGACATTCCAATTCTGCTCCTCGCGGAATCGGCTCTGAACAACATTTTCTGTCCGCCATGATCATTATTCCATGCGCCTCTAGTGCGTTCCTTCTAGTCCGAACGAAACAGGCTGCGTCACCAGTTCGTTCATCGCGACACGACTTGAACCCAGCCCTCCAGAAGTTCACTACAACGAACATGATGGAAATGTCCGTGGGTTTTCGCATCGAAGCGGACGGTGACAGCGGGGAGCAAGTGTTATATTTGTCCGTAAATCATCCGTGTCCGCCGAATCTAGTCTCTCAAAATCGATTCGACTGATAATCATCGACGCTTAAAACCGTGTGTCGTATGCTCGGATGGCTGTATCTCCGACGGAAGGAATTGAAACTTGAGATGAACGCTCATCCTGAGCGGGTACGAGCCCTGCTCATGGAAAATAATTTTCATTCTTATCGATTGATGTCCTCCTTCATTAGGCTCCAGCATCTCGAATGACGATTTGTCGGACTTTTCGGCAGCAGCATAACTCCCAATAGCAACGCCTCGCTCCAGAGACCGAAGCCTGTACCAACCGCCGTATGCCATTCAGGATATCTATAAGCATCGAACAGGCCGGTCGCGGGATTCTCGTCCCGTGCGCAGGCTATTCTTGAACTCGATCCGGAAATCCACGGACGATGTTGTCCGCTCGAAGTATGGGTCTCGACCGCATCTCTCATTCTCGGCAGAATTACAAGCTGACACCATATTTCGCTTCAATTTACAAGTGATGCGCTGTCGCCTACGCGAGTAGTCACGACTGGCGCTTTTTGACACGGATGTTTCCTGACTTGATTACGAGTTCGATCCGATGAGTATCTGCCTCGCTTAGTATATTTGGATTCGTCGAATTCTTGGTCGAAATCTGCGTCTCGTGGTAACAGTCGAGATCCTTCAGAGAGCTCTCCCAATGCTGGTGATCAATTGACCTAGCTAGGTCCGTGCGTTGAGAATCGTCTTCGAAGCTTCTCTCATTCGCGATCCCTTCCCCGTCTCATCGGGGAGTTTCTCGCTGAGAAACATCTCGGCTGAGTCCGCTGGTGGCTGATTTTCATTCTGTTCCTGAATTGAGGGACTATGTAATGTTCAAATCCCGCCGCCTAGTCCCTCCCAGTAGGCGAGTGTTGGAAGCATGAGAGTTTCCTGGGCTTGAGACGACTGACGACTCTACGCAGAACGTGACGTCATTGACGACATTTCAAATCGGGGCGGCTTCAGATGGCGTCAGACTTGCTCGCTGTGTAGCTTCCTTTCTTGCTCCCTTGATCAAGATCAACGAGAGGATCGGAAAGCCCTCCGCTACAAAGACCGCACCGTCTCCACATTGAGCTGAGCTTGTCTGGTCACATATTTTTTTCGTTTCCAACACCGTATCGCAATAATACTCATTTACGGGAGTTACGGCTAAATGTCTCGGTGATTACTACGACGACGGTCGTGACGCAAGATGACGGAACGTATCCAGAGTTCAGCGGACATGCAACAAGGAAAATTACATTCCGCGGGGCAGTGACCGCTGCTAGTCAGGCGTTGCTGCGGAAACATCAGAACGGAACGCGAAAGGCTCTGCCTCTGCTGAATTCTCCCCCGAATCGGTCTCCGACTTTCCCTTATTCTCGAATTCATGGATCACTCGAGATCCTCGACGGGAATGCCTCGGGAAAAATCCGAGGAGGAAGACTGATGTCGAGGAAAAAAAATTCATTCGAAAGACGCGGGCTCATAGATTGTTCTATTTGAAAACACGGGTGCATATCGAATTGATGAGAGAATAAGTTAATCGTTCCCCGTTCTTGTGAACTTCTATTTCGTGTGCGTTCTTCGCGCGTCTAGTTCTAATGTTTTGTATCATTACCGTATTGGACCAAGGCTTGTTGATTCAGCCGACGAGTCGGAATTCTTTCGGAGCGGGCGGAAATTCGCCGGCGCATTATGACGACGCATTCCAGAAAATCGTCGTTGGAGCTGTCTCGCGTCTGTACGCGTGTCTTTTCCCTGATCTCGGCGCCGCAAACCTCGACGACGGACGGTGGAGCTAGATTTCCGGGAGGGGAAAAGTTTGTCTTCACTCCGATGGGCGGACCACCGCTTGTGCATTTCGGTATTCCCCTTCGATACCGCTTCGATTCCATTGAGACCACAGAATTTCCGTCCGGGGATGAATCGGAGCCAGGGATGCGGGGAACAGATTTGTTCGTCCCTGGAGGAATAATTGATCACAACCGAAATCCTCGTTAAATTCGAGAGCTTGATCGCAGAGACAATAATTTTGAACTGAATTCGTGGAGTTCAGGATATGAATTCAACCCGGAATTGGTTTCAGACGATTGGACCATCGCTTATCGACCTGGATGAACGATCAAGAACTCAAATCAGCAGCTTTCGGAACATAGGAACAGCCGATCCAGACAAGAGAGTCGAGAATTCGTAAAAAACTACTCTCAAAATGGCCATTTCGGCCAGGCTGCGGAAGCTATTCCCCCTCAAATCGGTTGATGATCTCGTCCACATATTCAAGTGAGTCACATTTTCTCTTACCTGACAGGAAACACCCCATTCGACGTTCGAAGGCCCAAGTCCTTCCCATATCATTTCTTCAGTCGCGTACAATCAGCCTCCCGGTACTCTCCAGCAGAAAACCGGAGAATTTCGTCATAGTTGTCTCATCTGTGCGGAAAAGGAGATTCGTGAAAGACAGCTTGTCACCGGAGTCGTGCCGAATTCTTCTTTTTTTTCGCGGAAAATTAGTTCGTAACGAAATCTCCTTTCAGATGCATGCTCGACGGACCTGCGCCTCCAGATCTCACGTTGGCGTCTATACTCTTGGGCTATCTCGAAAATTTACTCTGTGCCAAACCTTTGGATCCAACATCATCGGACAGTGATTCTCAGAGCTCCGGACACGAGGATTTTCCCATCGTAAGCTCCATTCCGTAATGATCGATAATGTCTGGTGATTCCATTAGGCGGATCCACCACTCGAGATTGGATATTCGCATTCTTCTCGATCGGAGAACGATCTTCAAGCAGATCTTTCCTCCAGGTGAACTTTGAAGAGATCAATGCGCTCTACGGAAATTTCGCCTCCTTCATCAAAGGCTCGATAGACCTCTCAATCCAGCAGACTGGACCACAGCGACGCTTGAATCGTCAACTGGTGAAGAAAATATCTGATATAATCTGGAACACCTTGCATCGGTCCTATGGTCAGGACCGACCACATCTCCAAAGCATTTTCAGCTATCTAACAGGTACGACGCGAAGTCGACTATACGCCCTCAGGGTGTTGCTCTCAAAGAAGCGGGACAGATTCCGTATGGAGATGATAAGCTTCCGTATGAAGCACGCCGGAAAAGTTCTAATTATGCGTGGATTTTCGCTTCAGGGAACAAACTCGATTGTTTCGGATTGGCATACACGACCGTTGCAGCGTGTCAGATGCTGAGCTTGAGCGACGTCAACCTCGTTCTGAGCGAGGACCACGCTTGGATCGTGTACGTGAACGCGCAAACTGGGAACAAGGAAACCGCCGAGGTCACATGGCATGGTGAGCCCAATTTCTCCATTCATCGATGACGGCGAGCTCCGGGAACAAAGTCTGCCCGTGTGCAGGGTGTAATTTTTTGATCGACCTACATGTTGCAGGGAAAGTCGAAGACAAGAGGGGACAAGAAATCTCGTACGGTGAAAAATCATGGCTTTATCTTAACGGGCACGCGATTGAATGCTCGAAATACACGGAAATCGCGGCGGCGATCCTCGCAGTCAATCCGTACGCAACATCCTCGGCAGACTCTGAGATGTTGATTCACATTCAGAAGGTGTGCTATCGGGCATCATCCTCTATTGGAGCGGGATATACGCTCGGATTTGATTTTAGTCGACGGATTTCCCCCGCCGGGTGAGATTGAAGACCATCCACGAGACATCTAATTGAGTCTCAAATTCCACAGAAACTCCTGTGGCTGATGCACGATGCTGGTCACCTTCGTCATTATCCGATGGCGCTCGGAATCCTCGGTGAACTGGAATCGATACAAGATACTCCCGAAGCAGAACATTCGTCTTTGGAATTGTTCAGGGAAGCAGTGGATATCGGTAAGCGAAGCGGATCGCGAATTTCTCTGTTGGTTGCGGAATGACTTTTCCGAGCGAATGATATGGGACTTCGTCGGATTCGCCTGCATGAGACTATTATTTGGACATTCCAGCACGCACAGTGTACGCCGATCACCACGTCTACCCGTACACGTACTTGGGCTGCTTCATGTTTCGGAGTCAAAGATTCTCCGAAGCTCTTCGGTGTTACGCGAATGCGGCGCAGGTCATTCGGAACTTCAATTACGGGAGAGAAGACGAAGAGATCTACAAAGAGTTCATGGAGGTCAACAACGAAATCATCCCTCAGCTTGTGCGGTATCCAGGTAAGATCCCGTTCGTCCCCGGAATCCCAGGAGAAGAGACTTTCTCTCGTTAGAGCGTCTCACGACCCTTCACTCGTCGACAGGGATACCCGAGGATAAGACATGCTTCGCGCAGCTGCTGCGTCTCTGGGACGGACTTTGCGGCTGGGAAGAAGGCTCCTCGACTCCTGTGCTGCATATCGGATGGGCGCAGCCTTTCGTCTCCACCTTGGGGAAGTTTCCTGCCGCAACTCGGAAGGGAGTCAATATCGTCATTTGGGAGGACCCGTCGACGCAGGATGAAGGTGCGTGCTTAGTGAGTCAGAGGCGACGTCCTGGGTCTGATTGGAACTGTCGTGGATATGTCTCCACTAACAGAGGCATTCCCAGTGGCAGAACCAGGCGCCTCCTCTAGTTGCTCAAATACCACGGGGGGAGCGCCCATTAACGCCACTTCGGATTCCCTTATTCCGGGCCTCGGGTCAATCATATGTCTTCCTCACCGCATTAACCGATGGGTCTTTTGATCTTCAGCCGAAGAGAAGAAACTGAAGGAGATCAAGACTGAAAACGAACAACTCTCCCCGAGCGCTGTGGATTCGAAGGAGAATTCGAGAGACGATAAAAAAGCTGAACTTCCGACCAGGCGAGGGAGCCAGAGCCGAAAAAGCAGAAACGAGAAGGATATCAAGGAAAAAGAGAAGATCGAACCCAAAGATACGATCCTGACCACCGGCCCCGTTCAGCAAGATCTCAATGAGAATGAGGTCAAGAAAGAGACCGACTCCGGGGCGCCTAAAGTCAGCGACGACGAGCGAAGATTCCGTGAAGAGAACGAGAAGAAACCCCACACAGTCGTGTTCAGTAGCCAGGTGAATTGAGGCTCAGAGTTACAATTTAGCAAGATTTGAATCTCGATCTAGATTCCGCAGCACCGGCAAAACTTCCCCGTCCGGCGAAAGTCTTCCTTTTCAGTACTAACGAGTCTTTGGAAATGAGAGAAAAACTTTTTTTCCCCACAGAAAATGATCCGTTCGAAGAATCTACTGCTGGCTGATAAACTCAATACCTCCGCCATCATTCTTCAACTGACGGCCCAGAGTAACATCAACACACACAAGCACAAATTGGGAATCGATGAAGATAGACGAACGAAAAGGTTCCGTAGAGATTGATTGATCCATCACATTGATGATAAGTTGATATTCATCATCTTCATCCATCCCTCTATCGAGATCATCGAGATATCGATAATGTTTCAACGTCGACTGTGACGATATCAGTGAGCCCCATGTAGTGAGCTGGTTTGAGTATACCTTAGCTAGACGGGTTTTCGGGTGGCATACGATCTCCAATTTTTCATCATCAGCCTCGTATTATAGAATACCCGGGTCAGATTTCATCCACGAATACTTCATTAAACCACATAGTTCCGTTCCGATCATTTGATCGAATTCACCGTGAGGCGTCAGAAACAAATCGAGTCTACGTCTGATTCATGATGTGAGCGAAGGAGACCTCCACGAATCCCCGTGACGCACCTGGGGGATCCGAAATGATATGCACTACCGCCGCCTCAATATCATCTTCCGTAGAGCTATGAGCCTTAGAGTAGTGATGGCGAGAATATCGAGCGGCGAGAGCAGGGTTCTATTGTTCTACCTAATTTAAACCTGAGATTCGGTCAAACATCGATCTGAGTGACAGTTGGGAAAGGATCGGAGACATTCTCCAAGACCCTTCCCGGCGATCGTTCTTGGAAAAAGGCAATCTTCGAGCGGTTGAGAAGTGATAAATGTGTGACAGGACATATTTTTGGTATGGGGAGGGTATGTTTGACAGTGGTGTACCGCTGTTCGATTGACGATGGATCCAAAGACCGATAGAGTGATCTTCTACAATGATAACTACGATCACCGCCTCTATTCCTATCGTGGAGTTGGTGGCGCCTAACTACGTCTCCGACCATTATATTGTTTCCTGTTGTTTCTTTGCTTATAGTTGCTCCTTTATGTTGCTCCTCGAGAATCGCATCCGCCTAATGATTTGAGCTCTCGCTTCCGTCTCCTCGGGCAGATCAGCTTGGAATCGATCCGAGATGATCAATCCATAGATCGGTCGACGCTCTCATAGATCGGTCGGTGTCATGAAGATAAATTTCCCCGGTCCTGGAACGATCAGGGGATTTCGCTGCGACGATTGAGAAAAGCGGTTCGACCAGAGGTGGAGAGCTACCAACGTGAGTCGAGCTGAGGAAGGAAGCAGTGATACTCGAGATTGAAATTTGAATGGCCAAAATTTTCGCCTCTGATCCTCGTATCGGATCAGAGACGGGAGAGCTGCTCCACTGTGATAGGAATTTTCAGCTCGATCGAAAAACGGCGAGCGGAGTAAAGGAAATTCGTCTCAACTTCATTTTCCCGCGCTTATTTTGGTCAGAATCGTAACTGAGGATTCTTATGTGTTCACCACCTTCATCCCGTGTTCATTTAAAAGATTTGATTTTGAGTGAGAAAAATGGTTCCGGACGTAGGCGTGGTACTCCGGAAAACGCTTGTGTGTGTGGATGAGAGTACCTGGCTTCTTACATGGGAGTGTCTGAAAAAGAGATAAGGAACTCCACGCATAAGGCATGAGGCTCGTCGTGAACCTATGGATGATTTCTCGCGCAGCGTCGCAGCCGAAGTTGTGCTCGGCGGACCTTATGATATCAATGAGCGCCGTAAGCTCCACAGCCACATTTTTTCGTCATCGTCGATCGCAGAATCGTCTCCGCATGCGCTTGTCAACACTTGTGAACACTGTGTTGGACACCGAATGGTTTCAAACCGGACCCCCTCGCGGCAAATTCAGTGACCCGATAATAATCGTACTCACGGTCGCTCAGGGGATGGAGATGCCCATGTTCATTCGATAAGCCTGACGATCATGAAATTTTCCGTGGTCATCGTCATCCTCGCGATTCGCTCCGAGCTGAAGCCCAGTACGGTTTCTCGAGGAGAAACAGATCCTCATCCCGCTCCCGAGCGTTGTCAAGTAGGTAGGAACTCATTGTCCCGATTCCCACAGTATACCGTGGGGAGAAAGCCCTGGTGTTCCGGCTTTGCATTTACAACTACATAAATAAGACTTCATGCAAAAATGTTGAACAGAGTGCCTGGAAGAGGGAGCATCGATGCTGCAGACTCCTCAGCCTGCGTCGTTGTATATACGGTGTACATGTTGCCGATCGAGAAATTTATGGCAGTCTGACCTGAAAGTATTTGACGAAATGCCGAAGTAATAAAACCTACTCTTGTCCCCCCGAGCGTGAATAGTTCTTCTTCATCCCTCAGAGAGAACCGTCGAAGATTGCGATCCTCGATAAGATCCACGCGTCTATGGGGTGAGAACTTTCACGACCCATTGATAGGCTCATCCGATTATTCCAGGATTCCAGCTGTTCGGGCTCATTCGCTGTCGCGCGTGTTGGAGCGACAGGAACATGATCAATTTGAACGACTGTGCCATGAATATCAATTGATGTTCGTTTCATTCGATGCGGTCGGGCTCTACGAACGACGACCCTTATGGAAGGCTGCCGGCTCGCTTCCTTGCCAGCATCATCTCATCGTTTTGTTTAGAGAGCAAGTAGTCCGTGTGGGTCCATTTGCTTAAAAGCCGATTGACGAACCCTCGACCTCCCAGGAGAACTCCATGGAGAAACTTCTCCGACTCGAAGACGGTGTGACAGCGGGGCGAGCCTCGATGGGTTGATGGGAGACTCCGCCGATGCTGCGGAGTCCTTTTCTAGCGGCTCCCAGGAGCGGTTGACAAGTGAGGCGGCTGTCGCCGGCTGAAATCAGACATCGGCTGGAATTTTTTCTGTCCCTTATGACTTATGAGGGTTGGACATCGACGGCCGCAGAAGCTCAAGATGCCTGAAATGATTTTTTTACACGTGTTGCAGAGGCAGATTTTAGAGCACTCGCTTGTCGACCAGGCTATGTAGGTGTGCAGAACCTCAGTCACAGCAATCGGCCCAGGGATGCGGAACCGAATGAGTGATACTCGATCTTGATATCCCGGTGGAGCCCTAAAATTCGTTGATGCAGAGATGATGGGGATTTCGCGCGAAGACGGAACAAGATGGGATATCCGACCCGAGAGCTGGAGAACCGGAACAAGAGATCCGTTGGGGGCTTGCATCGGAAATCATTGCAGCAGTCCAATTGGCTAAGTCATCGCAACCCGGAGCATCCTTCGCCGCAGCCGAACAATAATTCGAGGAAGTGTCTACCCTGTCTGGGCGTGTGGGGCACAGTTGACGAAGGTCACTCTTTGCGTCTTGGATCAGAAGCCGGGCACGCTGGATGCCCTCGGCAGGCTCCTAGGGGCGAGGGCGGATCAGTCAGCGCTCAATTGATTGTGAGAGATTGTACGGAAAGACAGCAGTCGAGTTCTCGGGAGACGCCTCCGCGATACGAGAAAACTCCGAATGCTCGAATCATACGCCGGGAGGCTGACTGCGAGTAAAAGTGTGTCCAACGATATAGCAGCGAGAGATCACCTCGATGTTCCGGTTCCGACATTCTTTGGCCAGAGCCCAGAAAGATATCGCGAATTTTCTAGATCTCGGGCCGACACGATTGTGATCATCGAACCGGACCCTACCTCCCATCCCGCAAGAAGACATTCACGGCCCCGCCCGAAAAGCTGGGATAAGCTTGGATCCGTTGGTGCTCCTCCGTGGCCCAATTGATTCTTCCCTTTGTTTTTCATGAGGGCTCGAAATTGACTCATTCCCATGCATCAGGAGAGTAGATTCCATTCAATTGACATCGATCAGGATCCGTTAAAAGACTTGGAATAATCTTATTCATTCGTTCTGCATTCGGATTCCAACGCGGTACCCGTTGCCATTCATCGAACGATCGGTAATCCGAAGGGAAAGCCTGATTTCCCCGAAACCGCTTCGCTAGTTCTACTGCCGTTTCGAATGCAGCCCGGTGCACTCCAGCGGAACAACTTGAATCTCTGATAGCGCATATCTCTTGGATCGATGGTAACAATTTCCCACGGAGACTCAGCCCAATAATGACAGACCACGGATGATGACGTCACGCTTTGGTAAATACTAGGTTCAGTAGAACGCCATGAATACACTCGGCGGAAACATCTTCGGCGCAAAGTCGAGTGATAACCCGATTATCTTTGGCGTTGGTCGGTCTCGCGTAGCCGAAATGAGCAAAGAATCGGGGCAGATTTCCGCATATACGAATTTGAGATATCTTCTGGTGAAGGCTGGTACGGTGTCGGATAACCTGTCTCTGTTCGTAAACATCGTCTTATCGGTGGAGCACCTATCCCGCTGTGTGACACGAGCCGCCATTCAATCGATTGCGCCAGCGACTGGTTCTGACCGGGAAATATGGTTCTTGAACCGCATGGCTAGGGCTGCGCCTCCTATTATGTGCTGTGCGATGCATATTTTCTTGCATATATGCATTTCTCGATGGTTTCAGGATTTTTATTTATGCTGCAGTTTTTTTCCGTCCGAAATCTTGGGCCTTTTTTGTGCTGCTAGCCTTCCTCTCGAGCACCAATTAGGTGGATGGGAATGAAGCCATGTCAATGAAATGAGAAATCGACTTTTTACCTATTTTCCTGCATATTTCGCTCTTTTTCGAGCATTAAACACACAGCATTTCTCATAACACCGTGGGCTTGAGGGAGAAGGGCGGATAGAATGAGCCCGATCAGAGAGGGCTCGAGCGAAGACTCGAACCCAGACACGATCCCGCAGAGCATCCCTTTTTGGATTGATGCCCTCAAAACGCGGATTAACGTGGTCAAAAGTTCAGCCACATTTTCCGGAAACCATAGGGTCCACGGTCAAGCCGGAGCGACATTAGACCGGTGAGACATATTAAGCCTTTCTCTCGCACAGACGAGAGAGCCCCGGAGGAAAATATGGTCGACGGGCCCGTCACGGATCACTGTCCTTCTCTGTTCCCCTGTGAGGTCGCGGGATATCAGTTCACCAAGCTGCTCTGTATATCAAGCTTTGCGATTCCCGCTTCGAACACCTAGGTAACCAGCGGGAGTCTTCTCGAGCGAAGTATGAGCTCACCTTGACGGAGACCCGGTCGGAATGACATCATGACAGATTCTAATCGAAGATTCTATTCACGTCTCAATATTCCGAGAATATGAGCGGAAGGCGTATTTTGGTCTCGATGCTGCGTCTTTAAATGCATGTCGGTCTCCGTGTGACCGAAATACGCATCAGGTTCCATCGGTGGGAGCTATTTGATCTGCTTATCAGATGCTTTTGATCGAGAGAAATGATGTTCCACCTCGTAGAGCAGTTCTCTCGCCTGGGCTCCATTTGGAATGATCGTATCGACATCATCTGTGTTGAATGACGGGATGGGAATGAAGACTCGGGAATGCTGAGAATTCAAGATGCATCAGTCTGTCGCAGGGGCGTCCACGATTCGATGCGGGACATATTGAGGAATGTCGAGTCAGACTCTGTACTCAATGTCGTCTCAGCCTCCGGTCTCCGAGTAGTACCTCGAGCTCCGGAGGATCCTCGAGGGCAGACCCATTTTCCAAAGCTCCTCCCAGGGAGGATGGATGTGGACGTCTTGTGTATGCATGAGTTCTCCCGTGGATCCCGGTCCAGAGAATCATGATTCGATCGCTCTCAGGGTCAGTCGGTCGGTTTCTTACCGCTGCTAGGCGAGAGAGCGCGTGAGCGAGACGCGCGACAGCAGAGGGAACTCGTCTGCATCCCGGATATATAAAAATATCATGGCGCTTCTGTTCCGCAATGCTCCAATTGATCGGCTAGTCGGCCAGTCTTAGAGTCAGCTGTAAGTGTCGCGTCCGTTCAATGATCGCTGTGTGATTCATCAATTCAATTGTTTGCCCTCCGTGAATCATTCCCGCTAATATTCAATGCGCCCTCTACTGAACGTAAGCTTGAACTCCGTAGTCGACCGCAGTCCCTTGCAAGTCAACAAATCACCATGAAGGCCTCGCTATCATTTCTCGCGGTTCTAGCCATTGTGGCTCTGTCACAAGCTGCTCCTGCCCCCGATGCTGAAGACACGATAAAGAATGCAGGTTCGTACGATTTATTCGACATTTCTCTGGTATATGTCACGAGAATTAGGGGTATCCGATTACGGGTGTTCGATGGAGACGCACTCAAAGTCCGCGACGAGCAGATCTAAAGTCTATCTGACCCTGGGCAACATCTGCACGCAGGAAAAAGTATCGGTGACGCATTCTCCTCAGCCTGGGACTCGATCAAATCTGGAGCAGGTGAGTTCCTCGTGAGATGAGAATTACAATTCTGACGTTAAACCTCGCAATGCCCCGAGACGTCAGTCCGGTGAGGAGTCCGATGGCCACTCGCGATATGCTCATCTTTTTTCCTGACCTGGAGTAAACTCCTCTAGCCAGTCAATCGGATTCCACTGCTTTTACATACCGTTCTTCCTGACCCGATTCTGGGAGATTTTCCCATTATTCAAATGCATGATTGGGCGGGAGCGTTCTACAAGATCTCGACTGAATGAGACTTGAACAGCTCCGGTCGATTTCCCGAGCCCAGCAAGGGATACATTGCGTCGAACAGAGAGCGATCGTGCCCTCGGAAGCCTGCTCCCTCTCGTTACGAGAGAAGTGGTAGATGAGAACTCGTTCTTTCAGAACTCGTCAGGGGAGTTCCAGCGATAACATCCATGAGCCACCTTTTTTAATTTTGTCTTTTGAAATTTCCCGCAGAGACCGTAGCAGACCAGACTAAATCGGGAGCTGGTTGGTAGCTTTCCAGAGACATAAATCCGCTTCGGGTGGCAGGCGCTTCTGGAAAGTCATAGGGGAATTTTGCGAATTCAAGCATGCGAGTCCGCGTCCCTGAGTCAGTGTTGGTGCTCCGACTCAGGATTGAGGCTAATGCTCAAAATAACTAGATGACTTGCTTTTTATTGCCATGTTTGATTGTCTGAGATCGGGGAGAAAGTCCCGTTAACAATGCTAACAAGCGAGGATCGCGAAAAATCCAGGGAATTCAGGGCCGCCTGAGCAGATTCCAAAGGACATGATATTTGCTTCGGATTGAATGCGGTCCTTCAAGAAAGTCTTCTCACTTGAGTTTTGCATTCACAGAGAGTGTCTGGGACAAAACGAAAGAAGGAGCGACGTCCCTCGGCAAGTCGATTTCCGATGGCGCGTCCAATCTCGCCGAGAAGACCAAAGACACAGTTGGTTGAAAGCATGACCCACCTCACAGAATCTTGACTGAAGGATCATCGTCGAGCGGGAAGCGAAAAGCAATGCACAAATAAAGAATATGTCTCTGGGACGACTACACGCGTGTTTTGCTTTGTTTCCTGATGAGTTCATGCGGTCATGTTGAGTTTTGGCTCCTGGTTCGGCGCACTCACCTAACTTCGACATATTCCCCCACCATCGATCGTCGGGTAACCCGCGAAAGGATATCCCAGTCGCTGAATGGGCAGAAAAGGATCGGGAGAGGATTCGTCGCGCGAAATCACGCGGAGACCAAGGGCCTCACCTGCGCGTGCGTACAGAGCGTCAGTGCCATCGATGGCCATCCTGAGAGGGGGCCTTCGCTCGTGATTCCGCCACTAGTTCCGATATGTTGCACGAAACAGACTAAGGAGTGGACGTCGAGGGAATGAATGGAACTGTTTGCGCAGAGCTCAGAAAAGAATCCGAATTTTATTCAAAGCGAAGTTGAACTTGAACATCGGAGTCCCTCCATCGAATGAAGAATCGAAGTTAAGATGACGGGATATCAGGAGTCTAAAATCCATCCTGACCAGAGGTCTATCTATCTTAAATCTTAAGACACATTAATCGTTGCTGGCTAACCCTACAACTTTCGTCCGAAACATGGCAGCAGAAACGATCGATCTCGAAGATGGCGAATCGCTTCCCCTCCTCGAGATCGCTCCCGAAAAAGAGTTTTACTCGTCATAATGGCAGTTTTCGCTCATTTCTTCCCTTCCCCTGCCTCGCAGTCGTCCTTAAAGTACGATGAAGATAAAAGTAGCTTCGTATCATATATATAAATACATAGAAGTAAAAGAGCACGAGTGTCAAGACAGCGGTGCTTCTAATGTACATGCGAGCGATTGCGGCAATGCCATCAGTCTAGCTTGTTGATCTGAGAATCATTCCCCTCAAGGTCCCCATCCTCCTGGTCCATATCCTCGTCAGGGATGCAGGATGGCAATTCCCCGACCCATTTTCCATTGCGGCACAGAACTTTAGTCGCTTTCTCGAATTCGAAAGAGTAGTCCTCGAAGCACCTAGGACGTTTTAAACGGAGTTTAAGATGCCGGACGAGCCTCAATGGAATACCAGGACTCGACTCGCGAGAATATGGTGCCGCAGAATGTGATTTCCCTTACCTGTAATTGGCTTGGAGAACTTTGCCCTCAGGGAAGCTGAGCTCCTCATAGCTGACGATGAAACCATTTTTGATCTCTGGAGCCTCTGCCGCCTGATACCTGCACGAGTCGTCGAAGCCTTTCCTGACGCTTGAAGACTTCGTGGCCGCTGCAATCATCATGGTCTCGTTCGATGATGGATCAAACAGATTATCTTCGGTCATTCCCGCTTCTTCTTCCCCTTCGACTTCAGTGGACTCTTCTGACATTTCCGTGGCCGGCTCAGTGGAAGTCGTGGTCTCCCATGACGCCGTTGTCGGTGTCGCTTCCGTAGTGGACGTTGCCGGATCGTTTTCGCTCGGTGGAGGAGAACTCGGACGCTCCGTTTTCGACGAATCGATGGAGTTGTCGATCTCAGCGGAGCTCTCAGCGGAATTCTTCTTGACCAGCTTCGCCTTCTCGGCTGAAATTTCGAGCAAATCTCATAAAGACATTTTTGAATTGATCCTTACAATTAGTGATTTACGCTAACCCCCTTATCGGAGGGCAAGATTTTCGGAGAGCCTACCCAAAGCCTTCCGAACGAAATCTTGACTTCGCACGGGATCACTCCTCGACTTTTCTCGTTGATTCTTCTTATCGTCAAGGTATTTCAAGCGGTCCTCCTCGGAGAGCATGATCATCAGATCAATGTCTGATTGGGTGAGATTGTTCTGCGAAATCTGCGCTCTGAGGTGTTCGAGAATGGCCGGTATATGCATTCCTACGCTCGTATCAGGAGCCGGAGCCCGAGGCGTGAGCAAAACGTTTTGCCGCCGTTGACGGATGCGCTCTTCTCTGATATTGGCCCTGGTTTGGGGAGAAAATCGGGTTCGCAAGCCGTTCCGCTGGTTAGGTAGACGAGTATCATTCTCGCCTCCGTCACGAATGATTTTTTAATGAATTTGTTATGATGATGCTCAAGTATATCACAATGGATGGATTCCCTCCCAAGCTCCATCGACATTCAAGAAATCCGCCTCCCCTCAATTTTTTGAACTCACAGCAGAGCCTCGATTTCACGGTAGAACTGTTCGTTTTTACGGAAGAGTTCCGCCTTCTCCTCGTCCGTTATCGTCGAAACGATCGGCAGACTTCGGCTTCGCTCCGAAATTTGCTCTGGAAAATCGGTAGGTCAAGCATTCGAGCCTCCTAGACTCGACACGATCTCGGCATAGAACGGTAATTCCGAGAGACGCGAGCGCCACTCCCATTGGACGAGCCCCCTCAGATTTGGATTATTGGGTGCTCGAAGTGCTCACCTGGTGGAACGCCTCTCCGCCTGAGTTCGCGGTTTTGAGCTTTCGCGAATTCCACCAGCTGCATGGCATGACGTCGGAACTGTTCTCTGAGCTGTTCATCCTGTCTGGCAGCCTTTTCACCTGGGGAAACCTCGTGAATCAGCTCCAGATTCGCGCGAAAGTGTACTCCAAACATTCACGGATCATGGTTCTGCGCGTTGTGAGTTGAAGGATCTTCGTACCTGTCAGAGTTTGGGGGAGCCTTCGACCGAAGAGATCTAGTCTGCTACCACTTGGCGGCAAGGGCTCCCGATCGCCTCCGCGCATGCACCGTGGTGGTAAGGCAGGGCTCCATGATCCAGAGGAATCCCCGAATCCCGGATTGCACTGAACAAGTGTGTACCTCTGCCTTGTGTCTGCGAACATGAGTCATATTTAGACTGGGACGGCACGTGGAAATTTCCAGGACCTATCGAGAAACCATGGGAATGGAGAGTGCGGTACTCACTCTCTATGAAGAAGCCAGGAGCGCAATTGATCGCATACATGTCTCCCGAATAGTGAATGGAGATCTCTGCGTTCGGAAGGCTCTCGGGGGGTCTTGGGCAGCGATTGACACTCGCTGGACTCGGATTATTGACTTTCGCGAGAGCGCCTCGAGCTGCTGAAGCGTCGGCGATGCAGTCCGGAACTTCGACTCGCGACTTGCTACAAAGACAGACATAAAGCTCATTGGCGAGCGAGAGGCATTAGAGCGATGCTGCTGCTCCCTTTCGAGTGGGAGGAGCCCCGGCCTAGGCACAATCTTGTCGGAAGCGCCTCGCAGAGGGAACACGGTCTGTCATAAGGAACAAATAAAACGATGGAATCTTGATGAAATTTACCTGCACACTCCGATGCGGGGGCCGACGAGACGGTATCCGTCCAGGCATTGGAAGTAGACCGAAATTCCTCGCGAATCCTCATATAAGAAGAAAGTACCTTGATCCGGTTCACTTGGCAGAGTGTCGCAGTTGCCTCGCGTTTGAATGGCTGTGTGAACCCACATCCCCTTGTCGCACTCGGCAGTGTGTTCTTTACCTTCGGCTGGTGAGGGGAAGAGGCGCGTTTAGGAGTTAGAAGAATTGAGTTGAAGAAAAACGGAATTGCAGGACGAGTTGGATAAAACGCTCACTCGACCGCAACGAGCTCCCCGGAGCATCGGGAGAAAAAAGGCAGACTCACCTCTCCACGTGACTAGCTTCCCCAGAGCTGAGACGTAGATGTCTTGATTCTTGGAGTATATTTTACCGAACTTGGCTAACCACACGCAGGGCTGGAACGAGTCCAAATCCAGAATGTCCCCACCGGAAATCGGTCTCAGCTCATTATCGGTTCGCCGGCATTGCGGAGCAATGAAGTTCGGTCCATCTTCTTGGACCATCTGCGAACAAAAAAATCCTCCTCATTCCCCCATCCGGAATATCGGCTGCGTAAAACGGGACGAGAGCTTCACCGAAACGAGGACGTGGCCGGTTGAAGTTTGGATTGGCAGGTGGCTTACGTACACTGGAATTGTAGACAGCGTCCGGCACGTATCCGGCGCAGTAGGCGAAAGGCGCGCCAACCATCTCGTAATTCGGTAGACATTGGAAGACGAATTCATTGTTGTTATAAACGATTTTGACTCCGTTTTCGATGTTCACGTCAGCCAGACCGCAATCCGATGAGCAGGTCTCGCCGGCCAAAAGACTCCACTTTCCTTCGGAACAGTCGAGCCTCGCCGTGTTACGCTTCGCGCGCGGTTTTTTGCAGCCGAGCGCGATCGATCTTCCATCCTTTTGTATGTAGAACGTGAAGTCGGGAGATACCTGGAAGTGGTAATCATTCGACATCGGAAATTATTCCGGAGATCAGCTCGGGCATTCAGTCATTCATTTAATCAATCAGTTAGTCAGCCAGCTCATTTCCACTCAAACGCACCTCGGGCGGCTCGCAGTCGTCGACCTGTTGCCGGCTCTCCCAGCTCGAATCGTCCAATCCGCTGAAAGGTCTGTCATCCTGAATGTCTTCTGGTTGAGGAACGCATCTCGGTGGGCTCAAGCCGAAGCTCCAACGTCCGCTATCAGGGTCACAGGAGACCTCCACCACTCTTGAGGAGTCGGAGTTCTCGACGACGAAATTTCCGTTGCATTGTATGCGACCGGCATTCGATCGGTAGTGGAAGAACCTCCCGTTTTCGATTTCCTGAGGTTCGCATACGCCGGTCTGAACGCTTGTTCCACATTCGGGATCTTTGCCTATCCATCGCCCGTTGATACAATCGTGGAACGTCAGACTTCCGTTCTTACAGGCGAAAATCACTCTCAAGCCCTTGTTCCTGATGTTGATCGTCGTATCACGGTAAGTCGGAGGTGGCGGACACGAGGACGCCTCGTAGAATATCTCTCCGTCTTCCTGGATCAAACTCTGACTCGGGCTTTCGCAGCGAGGAATCGGGTTGCTCCACTGGGACCGTTCACATCTCAGAGTAGTCGCTCCTCTGATGAGGTAGATCATCTTGCATTGATAAATTATCACGCGACCTTCGCTGTAGACATATCCCTCGCCTCCGCGGATCGGTCTTGCCGAGCATCCACGGGATGGCGCAATTTGGGGTCGCGAAGTTGGCCGAGGTGCGGGGTACGGTCCACGTCGGCTGCAGTACGGTGCCGCGTGGATCCAGCGGCCAGATACACATTCATTGACTCTCTCTCCTTCGAGTGTTGCGTCCTGATATTTGCAGCGGTAGTAGATCTTGCGACCCCGGGACGAGATGGTGATCTCGTTCGCGAGCGGAGCTTCGGGTAGAGGACAATCGATGAATTCCGGATAGAGAATCGAAGTTTTCTGCGCGCTGTCGACAGAGCCGCAGGTGGGCTCGATGTCCCAGGTTCCGTTGCGACAGTACTGGTGGTTTTGGCCGAACATCTCGACCCTTTCCAGACACTCCAACCACCTTCCGTTGTTGTACACGTAGCCAACGAGGTTTTTGTTCAAGAGCTCGTCGTTGTTGTCACAGCTATCGCGGATCACGCATCTCGGCGCAGGATCGCTCCATTGGCCAAGGTAACAGGTGGCGCGATCTCTTCCTCGCAGGACGTAACCAGGATCGCAGGAGAATCTTACGGCGGTCTCGGTGACGTATTGCACGCTACCGTGGAAAGGAGCCACAACGGGTCCACACGAGTCCGCGACTCCGCGATCAACGCATTTTGGAATAGGGTCCACGTAGTCACCGTTTTCGCAGCGGAGGTAAGACGCGCCGACCATTCTGTATCCGGGAAGACAGGTTACACGCACGGAGCTCCGTCCGTCTTCATAGTACTTGACGCTCGCGTTGGGCACGACCAGCTTCCTGCAAACTTTCGGTTCCTGGGGCATTTCGGGGTTCCTCGGAATTATATCCGTGTCGCCAATGTTGCAGCGGAACGATTGCGGCAGCCATTCCCCGTCGGTGCAAATGGAGTAATCTGGTCCCTCCATGGAGTAGTTCGCGTGACAGTAATATCGAACGACCAGCCTCACCCCATCATTCATGAGATGCGGTTCCGTGACACCCCCTCGCGGCGGAATAGGAGGGGGCCCGCAATTCCTCGGCTGACGGGAGACGCGACAAACAGGCATGACCTCTCCGATGCTCGGGACCCATTCCCCGTTCCGACAGAGGAGCATGTTCGTCCCTTCGATCTTGAAGCCGGGGAGACACTCGTAGAGCAAGTATTCAACATCTGCTTTCAGGATTCGTCCGTTCTGCAAGCCCGGGAGTGCATCAGAACATCGCAGCTCTTGGCCCGTGCTGACACAAGTTGGCATTCCGGCTCCACGGGGAGGAACCCATCGACCCCTGTCGCAGAACAATTCGCCTGCTCCGCGCAGGTAGTATCCGGGGTTACATCTGATTATGACTTTGTCTGTTCCCTGTAGCATTGCGGTGCCGTTCGTCACAAGCTCGAAACCGAGTCGCCAAGGAGGGATGCATTCCGGGGTCACGGGAGGCTCGGGACTCGGAACTTGAACAAGGAAACGGCACGTCAGATATCCGGAATCGATGATTAGGTAATTGAGGAAAAATGCAGAAAATCCACCGGTTCAGAACGGATGGGAACGTGTATCAGCCGGAACTTACTCTGGAGAACGACTGTGAGCTCTTGCAAGTCGAACTGTCGTAGAGATTCCGGCCATTTGTCCTTGGGGATACGGTATTCGATGATGTGTTTCACGATGAGCTTCAGATAATCCAGGTAGGTGTTGCGGTGCATTCTTTCCTGCTCCCTCGCTTTGTGACCTGAAGCACATTCAAAGATTCCAGCAATCCGGAGCGGGGTCCGCATATGAGCCCATCATCAACGTCTGTACTGCGCTCTGGACGCAGTTTGAGGTCGGTGAGTCACTTGCCTTCAAGTTTCTGTTCGATGGGTCTGTTGAAGAAATCGTTCCCTTCACCTCTCACAGGGAGAAACTTCTCCGCGTCGCCTCTGTCGCGTTTGACGTTGCTCCTCTGCGAGTCCTCCCCTGAGAGGTTCTCCTTCTCGACCGATTCGGAAGGGACGGTGACCCCAGGAATCTCATCTACGTCGGGAGTAAGCAAGTGCGGGAACATTGTCGGAACTCTATCGGCAGGAGAAGTATCGACAGGAAGAATGTCGAGAGGTTCTTCGCTGGCCGGGTCGGCTCTGATGTTATCCACTGCGAGCGAAGGTGGTCGAGATTCCTCTGACATTGGCAAGCTGATGACTTTGGTGTATGGGAGGATTATATCTTTGAAGACTTCCTCGAAGTGTGAGCCGTAATAACTGGAAGCCGCGTTATCATATACGGTCAGGGCACGCTAGATTCGAGCTCGGATTGGTCGCGCGCTCCCAGCATCATTCCGATGCACATCTTATCATGACAAGTTGAATGACAAAATTTCGATTGAGCTTGATGCCGTGAATAAGGCCTCATTTACCGAATCAACACGTTTTCGTCTTCGTCGATATCGTTGAACTCGGATTCGAGAAGATCCTCGCGCGTTTTCTTCCGCAATTGCAGGAAAGGTGAGCTCTGCTGGAATTTCTTGGTCAGGCCCTGAATGGACATACTCTTCTCGGCTGTGGCCAGACGAGCGTAAAAGCGGAAGAATGGATCGTTGAAGCGGGCCAACATCTCGGCTGCAAGCCTGAGGAGGTCGTGCATTATGATGATTCCGAAGCGGAATTGATCGATACATGGCAATCAGTACCCATATTTCAAGAGCCCTCTCTTTCGATCTAGGAAGATTTACCTCTGCGATTGCGGGGAGTCATCGATGAACTCTTGGCTCAGGATTATCACTGAAGGACGACTGAATTCATTAGCATCCGAAAGTTCTCACGCTGAGGGCTCATGAGAATTTCGTCCCGAATCGTATGAATCCTCTCACGCAGGGTCGTATCAAACGGGAAAGAGGGAGGGATCACGCTTACCATGACCCACGTTCGAGTCGAGCCAATCGGAGATCGAGTTGAGATTTATTAGAGTCCACTCTCTGAAAATTATTACTCTTTTATGCTCGCCGAGGATTTTCTGATACAGAGAATTTCGAACGTAGAAGAAGGCACACAGTCACTCAGACCTCTGCTACACATCCACGACAGATGTCAGAATTCGGCTCACCTGTGATCGTAAGGACATTTGTACTCTGAAATCGCGGTTAGTGGAAATTAGTTCAGGTGCGATTGGTGCTCGTGGCAGATTCTAAAGAGGCATTCGGAGCGAATGTGCGAATGGTGCAAACATATAAAGTGCAGGATCCCGATTCCATTCCCCGCTGCCATCATCTCCCTGAGACGAAGAGTCGGCACGCTGAATTTCTCTACTATCCTTTTATTTACACTCTATCAAAATTCGTTTCAATCCTAAAGAAATCGGTATCCGCGACCACTGAGCGAGACGTGAGCCTTTCCCGCCTCAATCCAACAAGAGGGTGACGTTCTCCCGGACCGAGGAATTCGTAAAGCCTTCTTCTGATCACGCGTGCTTTTTGTCGTTCGCGCAAGCCAGAGTTTTCAGAAGGAGTCCGAAATGTCCATCCGCGATGAACGTCACCGATACTTGAAAGAGACCTCGACGTCGGGCCGCTCGGTGGTTCCGTCTGACGTCAACCAATCCCCATCGCCGTCGTCGTCCGGCTCCTGAGCATCTGATGCGGTCGGCTCTTCGGTGGGAATTTTCGTGAATGGTGATCGATCGTCTTTCGTGTACTTGAAAAAGACCTCGAACTGCTCTGGGAACGGAAGTTTTCTGCGAGAGATAGGATGGGCTGTCCTTGTCACCGGCACAACCTTAGTTTCGTCCGGAGGGTTTGGAGCTGAAGGGAACACCGTGAATTGATTTTTCGACGACGCTTCTAATCGCGAGCGGTTGCCGCTCGCACCGCATTCTCTCAAAGATGCCGCTCCAAATGATGTCGAACATAGCTGCTGCCATGGGGAGCGGGGAGCTTTGCTCTCACGATGGACCGCTTGATCTTCCCTCCCCCAACCAGCAGAAAAAAATTTATAGAATGGCCGGATACGGGTATCTCCCACTCAGAGTCGGAGACCTTCTACCGACTAGGCACTTACTGATCATGTTCGTTGGAAGTTTCTCGCAGCTCGGCATAGGCCTGTCCCAGTTCGTGTTCAAACAGGTCAGTATATTTTGCCCCTGGAGTTTGAAGCCCGGTGAGCAGATGAAATGCGCTTCATCTTTGAACATCTTGACCCACAGAGGCGGCTGGACGATCATCGACGTGCCGTTGCAAGACACTGGGGCAGCATCTGGAAATACATTTATTTACATTGATCTGATCCCCGACAATAATCCCTGCCGACTTCCAAGCAAGATCTGCTGTGCATCATGTGATCAGGAATGATCATCATGGTTATGGTTATAATTGATCCTCGCTAATGTCCACACGTTTTCATTGTCTCATCATGACGATAAGGCGCTCCGATTCCCAGGATCCGAACGCGACTGGGATGCGCGATCGGTGTAGCCCTTTCCGATAGCCTAGGGTGATTGTGAGCTGCCCGGCCGAAAAATGATGTTTTCACCTCCGTCTCCTCCCCTCGCAACAGATTCGGCTAGGAATGTGATGGAGAGGGTGAGAACTCTATGGTAGAAATGGTCAATTGACCAATACTCAAGCCACACAGCCACACACTATCACGGTACTGTTCGTGTATCCAAGCGCTTGCGATAGCGTCTTTTTTCCTGGGAATCCTAAGGAGTATCATCCCGTCATTCCAAGAATTGTGACGCACGAGTTGGTCCGTCAAAGGCTTGCCGAAATTCTCAAGGACCCTTGGCAGGAGGCTTCCAGGGAGAAACTTTCACGTTCTTGTAAAGCTTGTGAAAGCAAATGCATAGTGCATGTCTTGATCAACGGGGCTATCTTGTTTCAGGGAACGTGAGACTGAAGATTATTCTCTGTGCCGAGGCCTTATCTGATGCAAAGTACTGCGCCCGCCGTTCAACCCTGAAGCTCCAGCGTAATGATCAAATCATAGGCCACGCTCAACTTTCTGAAACTGAATTTCGCTCGAGTATGGCTGATTCAATACTCGAGATATTGGGAGAAGAATTATCATCATGATCCCATCGAGCGATTCTCCAAACCCATACCCATTTTCCTCCCACCCGGAGATCACGCACAGAATGGGAACCGAGGAATAAATATCATGAAAAAATGCATCCGCACAATCCAAGAGGTAGGCACATCCTCTTGCTCATGGAACCACTCTGATCCCCATGATCTGTCTCCGAATTAAATGCCGGGATATGCGAGGGTTGAGTGTAAAATTATAAATTTGAATAGTCCAGCTCCATCAAAGGACGATTAATTGATTAGGTAATCTTCAATGTTAGCCTAGCTCACTAGGGGCAACACGGCTGTCGTTGGACTTCACCTTCCGCTCACTCGTGGGAGCGCGTTAAGCGTCACATCGCTAGAGCGATAATAACATAACATCATTCAGTCCCGTCGAGAACATGATCATCCAACGCCTCGTCTCGTCTCCGACGTCATGGTCTCGTTTGTGGCTGCACCTGCCGGTGACCTTCGAAGGCAGGAGCGAAAAATCTGTGACTTTTCCCTGGATCAGGATTTCCCAAGCGGAGGAAGTCGATAGCTATCTCTGCATTTGAGGACTGGGCGAGGTAGCATTGAGATGCGTCGACCTGCACCGATCATGCATTCCAGAGAGCGGTACAATTCTATATTGAGGATGGGCTCTCGAGATGACCTCGATTGGTTCAGCGGTGGCGTCCAGCACCGCCAGAAGCATCGGCCACATTTCTAAAACCCGTGTTGAGACGATTGAAAGGCTATGGCGGCATTTAGTCGACAATGATTGCTGTCCGTGCTGAGAAAGAATCTTGTCCCTGGATGAGCGGCTCGAAAAGAGGGTCAGGTCCTTAGGCACAACGGGAACATCGAGCGTCTTCTCAGGTGGCCCTCACGGACATTGGGAGCTTCAGGGTTTTCGTGGAAATGCCAGGAGATCCGGCTTACAATTACTCTCTACCATCTGACTGGGATTGGGCTGCCTCTCCTCACCATGGGGAGGAATAAGATTCCATCGTCTCGAATGACGAAGACGGGCCGTACCCGTTGAACGTCGGGGAATACAGAGCCTCGCTGGGGGGAGAATCCGAGAGGGGCGGGCGTCTGACATCGGAACTCTCCCGACTCTCGTCTGATCTCTCCTCATCGATTCGGGTGGCCAACCATCAATGAGTCTCACCAGAATGGTAGCACAAACCTTAGTAGGAGCTACGAATCGACGGAGATTCTGCTTTTCCGATCTAAGTTACGTGATTCGAAAAAAAGAGGCTTATCGCGGCAGGTGATTCTCACCACATTCGATCGTGCCGCAACAGAAGTGATCGACCATGGACCCTTCTGAGCTCATTACGGGGCAAGGGCCGTTGGTTTCCCAGTCCCGGAACACATACGCCGACCAGATCACTATTTATACTGGGTCAGGAAGCTATAATTTCCCGGTTACGGTTATGATACTCCCGACGCATCTTGAGCGTTCACTGTGTTCGCTTCCGTTTACACAGGATCGAGATTCGCTTTTATGGGTTCCTCGCTTCAATCGACGAATTCCCGAGGCCTTACAAGTCACCTTCATGAAGAGCGGTGGGCTGGCGAGACCAGTCGGCCGAACGACAGGGTCGGATTTCGCTTCGTGAAAACGGACGACTTCTTTTGACAAAAAATCTTGTGGAATAGCAGAGTGTACCGCCTCGAAACCGGAGAGAGGAGTCGTCGCACCAATCTTCCGATTCTGACTTCTCTCACTATTGCAATGAGAGGTGTTACTAAATCCGACGGGATCCGGGATCGGAAAGATTTTCCCTGAACTCCATTTGACCCATTTCCCTCCATTCTCCCGGTTGAGGGCTTGAAGAGCTTTCGGAGACCTTGCGTACAGAGAGCTCGCATCGTAGATTGTGAATCGTAGATCCAACCCGGACATCCACCAGATAGCATGTCACAGAGCGCAAACCACCGACTCCTTGCCCAGGGAAGGAGTAAGCTTCTGAGAATGCCTTAACGGGATGCGATCCAGATCAAGGGGAATCGCCTTTGATAGTTCTCCGTCGCAATAACTGTCGTATCTCTAGCTAGGTGGCTGACGGAACTTTTTGGTGCATCGACCGACTCGATTCTACTGAGTGAGAACTCGGAAGGCTCCTCAGAAGGATTGCTGCTCTACACTCATCAGTGTAACCCGGTTCCGAGGGCTCAGATTGAGCCTTGAACTCTAGCTCATGTATACATTGAAAGTCGTCGCCGACCAGCTGAATTCGAGAATATGCATGTCTGTGCGGAATTCTCGAGAGGGAGAGCGCGGAGTTCGAAACAGCACCCAAGGATAACATTCAGATGGGAAATTTATAGCTCGTCTCAGAATTTCACACCAATGGCGTCACTCAGTCTGCGAGCGATCTCCAGCCTCGAATCTCCAGCCAGCCGGCTTCGATGACCGGATGGGTGCCTTCACGTGGGGAATCGAGCGCTGAGCCGCAGGGGAAAAGGCTTTCTGTCCTATCTGACCCACGGGACTCAAGTACTCCTCAAGAGAGACCAGCGGTTCTCGAGAACTATGAGCTCACAGAATATGCTCTCGGTCTTTTCCAATCTCCAATTTTCCGACAAGCTATCGGCGCTAGATTAGGACGAAGGGAATGCATGACGGAGTAGCATTGGATGCAGCCACTATAGAAAAACACGGAACTTCGTCTCGAAGAAAACTCGACCTTGCGGTTTGCGGTCGATATGTTGTGGTACGGAGCCGCATTGGCAACGCGATTCGGAGGAACTGAGCTCTCCTATTTACGATGGAATGGAAACGCGGTTTCCTCTCGAAAAGGCCACACACATCACCGATATCCGTCCCACGGAATGTCGAACGGAGAACAAATGCGAACTCGTTCACGATGTCCGTATAATAATGAGAGCGCTACGAATCCCCCGTCGGTGGTTCCTCTTTTCCGAGTTCTGCCCTGGAGGGATATTCTCATCGAATTCTCCATTGCGGTATCTGACCGGGATTGTCCTCAAATAGACTCGATAGCGCGGTCCACACCAACTCTTCGTGAGAGACGTGCCCACGTCAGGGAAGAACGTCCGAGCAGGTCTTCCGAATGACGCGCTCAACAGCTGGCCCATTTAGGTCTCCTTCGGGATCATCGCGATTGTTAGCACGATAATTGAGCGCACTCCAGTTAATTGGTTTTACTTTGATCCCACCATTAAGATTGGTGCTCTATCTTCTCGAGTTTCGAGAGAGACTGGCCGGCCATTTTCCGCTACGAACGGGAGCATTGTGGCGGAGACTTGCGTGCAATGAGAACGTCAGGACGGGGATTTCTATTTCCGAGAAGTTGTGTCGGGCCTCAGTCCGGCGCCACTTGCACCTCAAAAAGATAGCTTTCGAATTAATTCTTCCCTCTTATGATTGCTGAGGGAGCTGCCGACCCAGAGACGCAACCGTCGACTCCGATGCAATGAACTTTCCATGGACTTGATCCATGTTAGGGCTCAATACGAGATAAGGAATCCGACTCCTGAGGACATCCCGATCTCCAACGATCTAAGGTTTAGTCCGAGGCTGTCTCGAGCTCCATCCGTGCCACCATATCGCCTTCGACACGATTCATCATTCAGCTGAATGACACCTAGTCGTCTAGGAAAATTAGCTCTGAGTTCCGCTGACTGATTGAGATTTAGAATTCGACCAATATACCGAAGGTTGCGCGACCCGCGACCCTCCATGGATGCTCCTAATCGATCCGGATCCGATACGCGGATCTCCATGCGAACCCAAACCGTCACGGATAGTACTCAGTTGAGCAAAAAACTTACCTTCGGATGACACACGAACGGCCAGCACCAAAAGGGGCAGGGCCCAAAGACACAACATATTCAATAAAGTTCCCTCAGAAGCGCAGCAGAGATTGTGACCTCGATTCAAACGAGTACCACAGGCTGGACGAGCAGGCGCGAAACGCTCCTATGTCCGCTCAGCCCTCTGAAGAGTTTCCAGAAACTAAAGTGCACGTCCTTCTTCATTTCCCTCGCCCTGGAAAGAAGGCGACAGCAGTGACGGCGTGGTTGTAGAGAGCAGAAATAACAGGAGTATGAAAGAGACTATTTCTGTGAGGCGGAAAAAAAACGGTGATCGCTCGTGATCATTCACTCGGGAATCGCCACCTGGGATCGAGACGTCGACGCGAGCCGCTAGGAATATTCACCGGAGGCCCGAGGGGACTTTATTGGAAGGGTCAACTTTTTCGGACGTCTCTTGGACGGTCAATGTGGCGGTAGATGACTCGATACGGTTTTTTGCGTGAATTTGTTAGATCCATCCAGACATCGCGCGTCGACGAATGCAAGTCCTTTTACTCTCAGACGAAGCTCGATGGATGACTGCTCGAGTTGAGTATCTGATTGGTCAATCGATTTCGGCAGACGGATCTCGCGGCACACATTCAGGTACATAGAAGTCAAACTCGGGGATGAGGTGGGAATCGGTCCAAGCTCGAGCTGCAACTCACATTCCCGGTCCTATTGCGAATCGTAATTTCGTCCGTGAAGCGGGCAGGTCAAGCTTCGCAGATACATACGCGGTCTCGACGTTCTGCTGAGCCACTCTGAACTAGCCAGTGATTTGAGGATCGGCTCAGAGAACGCTATCTCTCACGCTTTTGATACGAAGGTGTCAGAAATCCAAGAGAATCATTTTGGGGACATCTTGACTGGGGGGAATCGATTACAATTAATTCAATCCCTTGCTATAAGATAAGAGCGTCGACCCCGATGGGGGAAAGTCTTGCGAGGGCCTACAGGGGCTCTTCCTTTCGGTTTCAGCCGAAAGTTCTTAATTGAGTCAGACGCAGTTTATCCGTCGAGAAGGAATGACAGCGCGGTGCTTTCTTCTGGAAGCCTTTTGTTGTCACCTTTTATTGCCTCAAGAATGCTTCGCCCCATCAACTTTTTCTGAATTTTTAGTTTATGCATCTTCGCCAAAATCGGTCGCTGAAAGTACAGTCTTTCAAACAACATTCCGAGACTACCATGATTGACTTGAGTACTCATGGGTCCGGGTCGTCTTATGCCCTCTCAGAAACTCATGATGATGATTGGTTCCTGTCCGAAGTCATCCGCGGATTTTTTACAGCCGGAAGCTGAACTTTCGAAACAGAGAAGTTGCCGCAGGTTCCGTCACAGCGGATTCTGTGTCTGTGCTATCAATGAAGCTGGAGGAGCGCGCGCCTTCGAGAGAGAAGACAGGGAAATGGTCGGTCGCTTGTTTGCTCGCTTGGTCGGTCGGTCGAGCAAGATCTTCAACGGACCATTCATCCACCGTTGTAAGAATAAACTTTCAGAAAAAGAAAACGTTCCGTAAACAACAGCCCGTGAAGAAGGGCGACCGAGACCACATGCTTGAGAAATGGGAAACAAGAAAACCCTGTCAAAAATTAAGATCGAAGATCATGTTCGGGGATAACTTCCTGACCGAGCAAAGGAGAACGATTTGCTGATTGTGAGAAAATTCCCCATAGAGGCTCATGAATTCTCGCGAGAAAGAGCGATATCCCCCACATCTTCTTCTCGTTCGGAGCCTCTATTGAGCCAGAATTCGGAAGGATGTCGCTATGACGCTCGCTAGTCGGTGTGCGGTACGAGCGGCGCTACAGAGGATCAGGCCCAGCCGCTTATTCTTACGCAACTCTAACGGCGGTAGCTCTAATTGGAGAGAATTAAGATATTTACGGGAGCACCAAACCCGCCACGATACAGAGAGGAGCTCGCACATCTTCCCCGGCCCGTCAGCCGAGCCGCCACAGGCCCGCAGAATTATTGCTATCACCGTTCCTAAAAATTATTTTCAAAGACCAAATGCTCTAGCCAAACACTCCGTCCGTGTCTTCGCTCAGTTACCGGCAAAGAGAGTAGACCTGCGGCGGTCGGGAATCATCGCTTGAGATGGTCTCGACGCTTCAATGAGCCAATAAATGAAATGACAGACGTCCTGCAATAATTATCACTCATCGACGAAGGCTGTTCGCGATTTTCTCGATGGCTCTCCTTTTCTGATCCCCCTAGCCGTCATTCTATTCGCCGAGTGACCGACCCTAAGAATACTAGAAAACATTCTCGATAGCGATACCGTAGGGCATTGCTCAGCTGAGTAGAGCGTGGATCTCTGCCGCAGCGAGGCTACCCGTCGCGTGATCGGCAGTCGAGCTTTTCAGTAAATGGCTCAATGAAAGCCGCGACTGCGAATTTCGAAAGGCTGATTCTATTCTACACAGAAAGTTTCTTCCCCTGAGTCAATGCGAAGGAAGACGTATAACGGAAAACGTCAGGGAGTGCTGTGTTAGCTTCCGGGGCACGATCGCGATCCGTGGCCGGTATTCTGCCGCCTGCCCCCTGACCCTTTTCGAATCATGCTGAATAAAGCAGAGGGAATTTCGATCTGCTTTTGAGAGTAAGGGTTTTGGTACTCCACGTTCCGTGTCGGACTCGGAACATATTTCCATGTACCGCGCTTCTCGGCTCGATGACTTCGACACGTGCTCAGTTTCTCCCAAGGACAGTCGATTTGAAACCAAATCAAATTTAGTGAACGGTCTCTTGACAACAAACACTCTTGAAGAGGCAGGTCGAGACATCCAAGTGAAGAGAGAATATCCGCGAGGAGGGTGGTCATCAAAAACCTTGTTCGCCAACACTTTCGGAGCCGGGTACTGGAGGATGATGATTCCTGATTCCCCCACGGAGACATCAGGGGAACCGATGTTCCGAGATGTTCGCTCTAGTGCGTGAAGATCCATTCTATGGAGTACTACCCAGGTGTATACGAACTATTTAACGCTTGAGCTCACTCGAAAAAGGTGTCGCCTTGCAGACGCTGCCAACAGTTGTAGAAGAGACCTAGCGGCCCTAGCGAGACACCGTTCCTTGAAGATCAGTCTTTGATTGCGTGGTCGTTTATCACTGATCGAGTCATGTCATCGACATGGAATCGCTGTTCCTCTCCGCCGAATACCCCAGGAGCTTTCGTACGTGTTCCTCCTAGCTCGAAGATACTCCAGTCCACGATATAAAATCGCCACAGTGACTCATGGGAAACGGTTGCTCCTGCTATCGATCAAAAGCTGAGTGCCGCAAGCAATGATTCGGTCAAGCCCGCGCGAATTCCGCAGTATGAACAAATCAGAGCCTCCACGCGTTGGAGCGGTTCGGCATCGTTCGCAAGCGGTCCGGTGAAGAAACTCGACGTTTTCAGGTTGGCAACAAAATTATTTATTGTCCGCTTGACGTTCATTCTGAAAGAACAATGGTACAACAAGGAAACACGTCAACATTTTATCGCTCATCCGAATCTTGCGTGTGCACTGCCCGCTCTACGATGCTCTAATCTCAACAGAGTTGAGAATCAAAAACTATTGCACTTCAGAATGCTGCTGGACTTCGAACATAATTAGCCGCATCACGTCAACAAGCGCGTTCTAAGTCGACAACCACTAAAATCGATGATGACGCCTGATTTATCTCATGTAATATTATCTGATTAAACGTCTTCTCCGAAGGAACGGGTTTAGTGGGGACGTTCGGCTCTGGGATCGATGGTCAATACGTCCTGTGTTCGAGTCTAATTGAAGCTTTTGATGAAGTTAATGAGCTGGTTCGTAGACTGGTCATGCGAGGAAACCGGTTCTTTTCCTTCAAGTTCGGGCTGGATGACCTTCGCGAGCTGTTTACCGAGTTCGACTCTGTGGAGGATAATTCTGGTTGAGAATCACGCGCGTTCTCTCGGAAAGTCATTCCCCTTTTCGGCCAGATCCCACAAAGACAGTAAGAGTCTCGAGGATAGCGGAGGACTACTGGAAATTCTCTCACCCCCATTGGTCGTATGAGTTGATGTCCCAGATGATTCCTTGGACGAAAATTTTGTGCTCATACATCGCGATTAGGGCGCCGAGGGTGAAGGGTGTCACTTCCTGGACCATGATGGAGTTGGTGGGTCGATTTCCACGGAATACCTGAAACACCGAATTACTCGCAATGATCGGATCACTCGATTCGCTACCAAAACTCTGGCATTCGCATAATCCAAAGCGATCTTAGCTCAGACCAAGGAACCAGCCGGATTATCAGAATGTGCAGTGGAGGACTGATCGGATCCTCGACGAGACGCGAGATTTGCTTCCCGTGGAACTGCCACGAACCTTGTGAGGCAGGATCTTTTCCAAAGCCTCCCCCTTCAATCCGGATGCTTCCAATTCCGCCTTGGCCTCTTCGGAGCTCTTGCCCTTCATCAGCGCTTCAGTCTGAGCCAGGAAATTGGCGAGCAGAATTTTATGGTGAATGCCCCCTGAGGTGTGCAAAGAAATTTAGTGAATGATCTTCTCCGTCGTCCGAACCCACTCGCAAGCAGGATTCGATCCGCAGATCCCCTATGATTAATTTTCCATCCGATCATCAGATCGAATCGACCACCGCCTCCTCAAGAGCGGGATGAACCGCAGCGAAACTTGATCATCACCTTGGATCGGGTTGTGAGTCTTCGCGGGCGCGATGAAGTCACACGGAATGAGTTTTGTCCCCTGGTGTATAAGTTGGTAGAAAGCGTGTTGGCCGTTGGTTCCAGGTTCCCCCCAAACGATCGGCCCCGTTTCATGTTCGACGATTCGCCCGTCACGTTGCACGTATTTTCCGTTGGACTCCATATCTCCTTGTTGGAAGTAGGCGGCGAACCGATGGAGGTATTGGTCGTACGGTAGCAGACAGTGAGTGTCCGCGCCAAGGAAATTGATGTACCTTAAGCCCAGGAAATAATGTTTCAGCTTCTAGACTTGACCTGCTTCTCCAGATTGTACTACGAGCCATCGGTGATCATTCATTCGGCGCCCACTTACCAAGACCCAATCAAGGCGAGTATGACCGGGATGTTCTTTTCCAACGGCGTTGTCCTGAAGTGCTCATCCATGAAATGGGCTCCTGTGAGGAGTTTCTCAAAGTTCGCCATGCCTATCGGGAAGTTTTCGCTCAATGGGCCGCGAAGTATCTCGTTTTCCGAGAGGAACTGATAGTAAAATCTCATTATGGTAGTTTATTGATATCATCATTATTGGACCTCACCGATGAATAGGGCGATGGAAAGACCGATGGCTGACCAGAGCGAATAGCGACCGCCGACCCAGTCCCAGAATTCGAACATGTTCTCCTTATCAATGCCGAACGCGGTGACCTGTTAGAGTGGCAATGCGGAATTATTCTAAGGTCCGAGGCCACCCACAGCGAACGGCCTCGGAGCACGCCCCCTCTCCACTTTCATCCCAGTTCCCACGTGGGTATCGGACTCGGTAAGAGATGGGTCCCGCGCCCCGGAGGAATGTCCGACGGGGCACTCGTGGCGTACGTACCTTGGCAGCGTTCGTCGAGAGAGCGACGAAGTGTTTCGCCACATGGCTCTTGTCGCCGGCTTTGCCGAGGAACCAGATTTTGGCCGACTCTGCGTTCGTGATCGTTTCCTAGGAGTGTATAGCGTTTAATGACGGGCTCTCCGGGTCGAGCTTTGATGTTCCTCCATAGTATAGTCGATGGCATTCACCGGACAACTTTCATAATGCCGGTTCCATGTCACCGGAATCTTGTGTGGTCCGTTGAGACCCACAAGCAGACACGTTTTCGAGTGTGCTCACCTGTGTGGTGAAAGTTTTCGAGGCAATGATGAATAGCGTGGTCTCGGGATCGACTCGTTTCAACGTCTCGAAAAGATGAGTGCCGTCCACGTTCGATATGAAGTGAACGTTTGGTCCGATCTGATAAGGTCTGAGAGCTTCGGTCACCATCAATGGACCCAAATCCGAACCTCCGATTCCGATGTTGACAACATCAGTGATCTTCTTGCCTGTGTAGCCTTTCCATTCTCCGGATATGACCTGAACAGAAGAGAGACGGTCAGAATGGATTCCAATTCTGCTCGGGCATCGTGCTGAAGACTAGGAGAACTAGGCCGGCATTCGCGGCTTAGGATAGATCAGTAGATAGAAGAGAAATATCAGAACCTGATGGCAGAATGAACGCATGTGCTCGAGCACAGCATTGACTCCGGGCATCACATCCTTCCCGTCGACTTCGATTGGGCGGTTCGAGCGGTTCCTGGAGGTTTGAACCAATTACTTTGGGCTCACGTGTTCAGAACGAATCTTCGAAAGACCAATGGGGAATTCTCGAAAGCTGAAGACAGCCTGAGTCGGGAAATTCATCTTTTTCATCATCGAAGTCCGCGGGGGAGAAAGGCTTAGAAATGCTTTGCGTCGTCTGTATCTGAGCTCGCTGTCGGAGTATCGGTGTTCCTCCCCAAAATTAAGGACTCAAGCAAGTAACGGGTTTCGCTCCCACTATTCGGGGCGAATCGGAGCTCGCCCACTGAGGCATTTCACGAGCCTCAGCCGGAAAAATAGGGACAAATTCCGAAACTACCCAGAGCGCGACGACGAGCGAAGACTTTCCACCACTTAGACTGCGAAGGGCTTCGGAGAAGAAAACAGAATGCGAATGCAGATGAATGTCATCAACGGTCGAGATATAGCAGGCAAGGAAGAAAACTATGATAGTATTGTTATCAGAAAATTGGGAGGAGCTCCCTTGTGATGTATTCTGCAGCGACAGGGGGCGGGGCGACTTGTGCATGATGACCCTCGAAAATACTTATCATCCACAAACCTTAGAGCGACATGAAGAACGGCACGATCCTCGGTGAAGTTGATCTTCTCGCCCTTGAACATTCGATCCCGCATAGCCTCCACACCTCGGTTCTTGGCGAGTTCCAGGAGACCCGCCATGATTTCATCGTTGATCAAGTTCTTAGAGTAATCGACCAGGAGAGTTTCGGGTCCAGATTGGAGTTTGAGCCTTCAAAATCGGAAAAAGAGACCCGTCATCGGGAAGCATATATGTATATACAGTAAAAGCTCGTTATAACGACCCCCATTACCACGAATTTCTCGGTACAACGAACAAGGAATTTCTCCTCCTTTGGCCAGCTCGCCATAGGGATAGCGTTGAGCGGCATTCGTTACAGCGAAATCTCGGTACAACGAACCAGTTTCGTCGGTCCCTTCGTATTCGTAGTAGCGAGCTTTTACTGTATATACATTGTATGTCGCTCCTATTTCATGTTTCCCGATGATGCTGGGACCGATATTCGGCTCTTTTCTCCGCATGCTCTAAATGCTGCGAGAGCTCTATGACTCCATGGTTCCCTGAATACCATTGATTCTTATAGAGCTATCGGAGTCAATAGGACTTTGGTGAAGTTAGCATCATAAGACAAATATTTCATGGAGCCGAGTGAGAGCATCATGCGCCTTCGTGTAAACATTATTCTAATTGGGCCTTATCGGCCCTCTCGAAGCTACAAGGTTGAGCGTTCGCGGACTACAAGAACAATTGTCTTTCGGAACAATGGAACACCTGAGTGAGATCTACGTGCCCCACGGAGCCTAATCGCAAGGTGCGCGGAAGACGCAATCTGGAGAGCATCAAAGTGTCAAGTCATCTGCGGCTTTCTTTCCGCATGGAAGAGGAAGTTAAAGACTTGTTCCGAGGAGTCCCAACCAAGGGAACGATTGTCGTGAGAGAGATTTGAGTCTCGACGCGAGGGACGGATCGGCCACCAATACTCACGTATATTTCTCCGCTCTCGAGGGATCCTTGTCGAATAAATCCTTCAACCGTAGTGGTTTCGTTATTGGGCTCAAACTTCTCAGCTTGAGAAAAGCTGGGTCTTCGGTTAGGATCACCATTTCTGATCGCGGTGCTTCTTAGCTAACACGGAGCAATTGATATCCGCCTGTTTGGAATGACCTCCACGGCTGCCACTCTAAAGCTACTGCAGCGGGCGAACATATGAGGCAGCTCTGGGAGAGAAGGGACAGCGAAGCTTGGAAAGGGGAGTCTCTCCATTTTCACAGGAAGGGGGTACAGAAATTATCATTGAGGAGCTCAATTGCCCCTGAAATGATCCCACTTATGCGTTCCTTCTGTCAATGGGAGCCTTGCGCGGGGAAAATCCGCAAGCGAGTAGCTTAAAAAAGAGAATACGAGATATTGTCGCCTATTTGACTATTGACAGGCGGCTGATCATTCCAAGCGGTCTAAGGGGTGTACATCAGTGATGAGACTCAATAATCGTTTGCGGAAAGCTCGTTCAAGATCCTAATGGTTATTGATATCGTCTTGAAACTTCATTGTGTCATTCATTTGGCCGTATTTGTACCTCAGTCCAAGGTGTTCCCTTTCTCCCGTGTCTGCGTAAACAACATCATTGCAGACGATATTTCTCAAGGCGGGAATCTGGAAACAGCACGTACACCCAGTAAGAAGCGAAGGGGACGTCAGAGGCTACAGCGTCAGCGACCTCGAACCAACACTGTTCACAGTCTACATCCCTATACCTGACTGTCCGGAATGGATAGGTCTTCCGCGAGACTTTTCAGCGGAGTGCAGATTTCGCAGCGGAACTAAACCACCAATTCAACCCCTGCCGGTATCTGTCCTGCGGCTTCGGTTCACCGAGTGGACCGAAGTCACCGAGGAGGGCTTCACCGTGGAGACTATCGGTGGAATTCCCTGTCTCAGCTCGGAGTATTCCCTAACGGGGCTTCGACGAGCCCGAAACTGTGGCCGCATTGGACAGGCAATCCCTCTCGAGCTCGCTACCCAGTCTCTTCGAGCATCCATGGTCAGCTCGTCAGAACTCGAAACGAGCTTTGTCGTCTTCATGGCTGTCTCGAACGGGTTCCGGGATCGTGGACCGCGACACAAGACAAGAACGAGAGCGAGCGTTCCTCAGCTCCTCATTTTTCCCCCCCTCCTCCCAAATTCGATAGGTCAGCCCGAACTTCCGAGGTAGGAGTTTAAGCCATGCAAAGGAGTCTCCGGAGTGGACGGTCGGCTTCCTCCAAACTCACAGGCCTGGGATGAGTCTGGAAGAGGAAAGAGGGGTCATCTCCGAGCTGCGCGCGGACGATATTTCCCAAGTCATTCTTCGGTCGTCGTCATAGAATGCTGCTCGCGGAACAACGGTGTCATTTCGAGTCCGGAACCTCAGAGAGCCGGTAGAATCGCTGCTCGCACTCAGTTTTGGGAGTATGGGGTCGCGCATCAGCTTTATTCTTCTGAACAAAGCCACGCTCGATTCCCCGGGATCTCATATCGACACTGGGAGTATCTGATGAGCATTCTAGAATCCTTGAGACTCATACTCCTTTTCTCATTCACGAGACAAGAGACGATGACGCGTGTTACCTCGGCTTTGAGGCTGCCTCCCGCAGATTCGCGGAAATCTGATCAAAATTGACAATCGAGGCATCCAATGGTGTCGCTCATTTTTATTAATAATTGGATTGGATGAGATAAGAACTGGGATTAAGCTCAGTGAATAACAGGGTCCAGCAATGCGACATGTAGATTGAAAGTTTCAACGATTCTTTTCGACCAGTTATCTTCAGTGTCTCAGGTAGAAGTATACAATCGAAGCCACAACCAGCGGAATGCACACGACAGCGGTGTTCAAACCTGGCTTACGCCGAATGACTGGCAGGAATACCCGTACGAGTGGGTCCAGAGCTTCGTCGATAGATTTTAGGAGCGACAAGCCGACCGAAGCCCCGCTACCGTTTTCTGTCTTCTTTGAGCTGGCGGCGGCCGTGTCATCAGTAGCTCCCGCATCAGATGAAGACATAGCTCCACCCTGCAGAACATCGTTTCCGGTCTCGATTTCCCCGGAGACCGAATCAGAGTTTATGATGTACGTTGCGCTCCCCGCGTCCGAATCTTCCAGCTTATCTCCGGACCTCTGGATACAAGAATTCTCCTGGAAACTCTGGAGGATGGAGAGAAGTTTCCATCAGCGTCTTCCGCTCTCTCTCTGTTGGAGTTTTGGGCCATATGTATGTTTATTCTGGGACCGAAAGATTAGAACGACGCAAGCGTCAATTATCATCATGAATCAGCACCAGTCTTGGCTCTGATTTCCAGAGAGAACACTCACCATGGGCTCTACGGAATCGTCAGCGTTCCCTCCCGATAGAGCGACCCGGAACACGCTCTCGGAATCCGAGCTGAATTTAATCAGAGGCTCGGAGTCTTCGTGGAACTCAGGCAACGGTGGCGAATCTGTATGTGGATGCTTCGACATCCTAGGCACTTCGAAAACCTGCAATTCAGCTTCTTCATCAGTCTCCTCGATCTGTATTCTTCTCGACCTCTGAGCTCTGAGCTCAGCATCTGCGAATAGGACGCCGGATCGAGCTTACCGCTGGTTCCATTTCGGTTTGAGGTCTTTTCCTAGATGATGCGCTCTCGTTCATAAGCTCCGTCTGCGTCTGGTCAGCGTCTACTTTGCTCGAAGCGGCTGAAACAAGTATCCATCAGTCATTCGAAAAAGCGATGGTCGAGAACCCTCCGTTCTCTTACGAGTCTCATTCTATATGGGAATTCTTGTCCGTGGCGCTTCCCGGAACGCATCCGAGTCACATTGTGATCTCTCTCCCTCCTCAAATACAGAATATCGGGGCAATTTTGATTTCAGGGATAAGCTCTGATCTAGATGAGACGTTCTCTCGATGTGCTTACTTTCAGCGCTCGTTTCAAGAATGTTCACTTCGAACATATCGGTGAGATCTGTCGAAACATCTTGTGGCTGGATGCACGCTGATTGAGGCTTGCGAGGAGCTGAGAGGTAAAATAGAAAGCTGAGCCGAGCTTCAACGTTATGATGAAAATTGACGGACGTGGCAGACTCGATCGCGAATCAAGGGCTCCCCGGACGATTCACGATCGTATATTATATTATCGGAGGAGGCATTCATGGGTTGCCCGATATAATGATGAATGCTCTCGAGAAACGCACAAGTGTCGTCGAGTTTCAGGTCTAGAGATTCCATAGTAGCGTCGGCTTTAGCGGTTTCCGGCTTGATCGGAGATGGGATATCTGCAAAAACGATGACTCGGATTGAAAGCAGCATCTAAACAGCTCCAAGGCTTCTAAATGAATCGACTCGGAGAGGACTGACAGCGCGGAAGGGAATTCAAGGAGCTGCGCGTCATGGGAGGGTCTGACATGGACAGCGCATGATTCCATGGCGACTCCCTTGCGCAGCGCGCCCTGAGACGAGGGACCTTCCCTTTTCCTAGTCTGCGGAATGCGATGTGGGGCAAGCCAAAGACCAGAAGGACCGCCGTTGTTTCGAGACCCCTGAGTGACTGTCAAATGGGGAAGCCTCATGCAAGAACTCGATATTTTCCTGTTACTCATCCATGAAGTCCCAATCTATGAGAATCAGGATATCAGGATTCGGGATCTCATAGAAAACTGAGCTCCGCGAGCCTGGGAACCCGAATCCCGGACATAGACTCAGGAATTCCCCGATCGTTGTCGGAATAAAAAAGGAATCCTCCAAAAAAGCTCACCACCACGAGCCTGCTGACTGAAAAAGTCGTCCACTTGTCGAGATCCTTTCTTGTCCGTCGCGGCCAAAATGTTCTCGTCAATGTTGGTCGCGACGTTTCCATTCTCTTCCTGGGCGATCGAAGCCGTATTCTCCTTCAGGTTGTCGCTCGTTCCTATATCGTTTTTCGCATGGATTAGAAACATTCGGAAAAACTGAGAGTTCTGCTCAGTAGAGCTAAACGGAAACTTCCCAGTCCAAACAATTCGCAGTCGAACCTGTTTGTGGCGAAGTTTGTTGAGATATTTCCATCGATACCTTGGACGCGTACTACGCGACAGACACAGTTGATTTTTACGCGCTTGACGGTCTTTGAAAATCGTACTTCTGGTCACGGGCCGACTGTTCGCTCAACTGCTAGCTCTGTGTTGCTGCTGCTGGTTTGAAAGGAGGATGCTTGGAGCGTAACTTTGAATTTGGCGCGCGATTTCGCGCGGCTATAATAATCTATCTTCGAGCTATCCGCCGAGAGTTCAATATCCCTGGAAGCCTTCGCCACTCGTCAGTACGGAAATTTTCTTCAATGTAATCCTGAAAGTCTCCCAATCAATGCGAAACGCCAAAAAAGATACGAAAGGTGTCAGACCTTCGGAAAAGCCTTCACTTTGCCGGATCGTCGGCCAAGATAGATGTCGAGCATTCATCCTCAAGGATCGAATAGCGCCTTCAAATGTTCGGGACGGCTTTACAGCGAGACGTACCTATCAGGTCGGGACTCCGCAAGAGCCGCAAACCGTCAGCATGCAGCTGAGAGGCTCAGAAGATTAGAATCCGGCCTCCGCAACCGACCTCAAACCGGCCTATTCGAAACTCGCACGGGCAAGACGGAATTCGGGATCAGAATTTAGTGATTATACGGAAAACACGCTTCACGAGTACGGGATGTTTCTTTATTCCCGGCGATGCGTGCAGGGTCAACTATTCGACCGAATCAGAAAATGATTCCAATATCGACTCAAGAGGGACTATTTCCCGGGGAACTTAGGCACAACGAACCAAATTGAATTCTCTATATATACACCGTGGCTACGCATGATTCGTCTGGTGTTGCCGAGATTACAAAGTAAAATGAGTGGTAAGAAAATCCTTGAGTCACGTACTCCAACCATTCGTGGGCATTCGGGAGGAATCAAGGGACGGGCTTCATTGCTGACGCGCACTGCGCTCTCGCAGCCGTGGGCTTTTGCGCCTGCTCTCTTCCCGTCGACTCGTTCCACTTCCCACATTTTTTCTCGATGACACCCTAAGAGCGAGCTTACGCCTGCGTTCCTTGGCTCGCTTCTCTTCGAACTCTTTGTAGTACTTCGCGGCGCCCGCTTTCGTTCCTTTTTGAACTTCACGTTCCATTCCGTCGTCGAGAGGGCCGAGACCCCGCTGCTCCTCTTCGATTCGTTTCTCCGCTTTTCGCGCCATCCATTCATCTTTCATGATGAGCCATCTTTCAGGATGATAAGTCTCTAAAAAATTTTCCCACAAATCTTCGTAGATCAAATTTATCCGGCGGTAGATAGTGTTCTCGATGATACGTTTCCGCTCGATCTTTTCTCTGATCAACCGCACAGCCTGTTGAAGATCGATATTGCTCCTGTCCCGTCTCTCCGCTTTTTTCCGAGTTCGCTCGTCCCTCTTCGCAATATCTACAAGGGAATCTTCGGGTCTTTTTGGGGAGACGAGCTGATCCAAATCAAGCGGTTTCGAGGAAGATGCCCCGTGGAGACCCTCTGAAGTAGCAGAAGAGAGCGTCGTTCTCGGAGAGCCCGCCCCAACCTGGCGACTCCTCAGCGAGCGATCAAGGACGGTATCTAGACATTTCCCGCGCTCATTGGCGGGGGACGATACAATTCGCTCCGACTCCCGCCTCCTGTTCTCCGAAGTTGAGCGCTTTCGCCCAGAGATGAGCGCTCGATCATGCGCTTCTTCAAGTCCACTTTCCATCGCAACCTCCCGCGGCTCGGAGGTATCCTTCGGTATCTTCCGAGATGTTTCAAGAGGACATCCTACAGACCGATACTCGTCGGGCTCCGTCAAGGGGGCTTTCTTCGCCCATTTGCGGGTACTAGTAGTCACAGACGTTCTTTGCGAGCCTTGGAGCTCACCCGACGCTCTTGTGGTAACCCAGATGCTCGGCTCACATCCGGTCTCAACCATATCAACATCAGACACGACGTGGCCTCCCGAATTGTCAGCAATCTGGTCGCACGCGTTCCTTATACGCTCCGTATTCCTCTCCTCTGGGGCGAGCTCGAGTCGGAGCGATTCATTCAGCGGCTCCATTCGCGAAACCTTATGGAGCATGAAGCTATCAATAGTAGGCGCATGGAAAGCTGTTCTCGTGCCGGTCGATTCCTCTCGCTCCGAAGGCGCGATTCGATTATCGCTGCGTTCCCCCGTATCTCCGCAGGCATCATCGAGGTCCCATCGGCCGTTGTCCGCCTTCGCCCAAGCCCTCGTCGCATCGAGATCGATCTGGAACCAAAGTACACGAGACGTCGGCAAGTCGTCGATGAGGGATTCAGACCAGAAATCGGAACACGAGCTTTGACTTGACCTGCTGACCAATCACGTTTTGTTATGCCAAGGGTTGCATACCTGGATACAAGCGGATTTTTTCCGTCGCGAGCGCCGAACATATTCGTCTAGGCCGGTCGTCTGCAAAGCAAAGTTATTATCTTACGAAAAGAGGTCTCTCTCATCCATCGAAGAAGAGCTCTCATACATTCGGATAGACGACGACGCCGACGTCATCCCTCCGAATGTGCAAAGAGAGTTTCTCTGTTCCTCTCGGGGCCCATGGTGTGGTACACGATACGAGGCATCGCTTGCAGGAGAATTTCGTGGGCTGAGCTTGCTCGAACCTCTTCAATGCATCGACTTTTTGCCGTCACGAGTACGCGCATAGTCAGCCATATTGATATGGCCTGTGTGAAGAACTTCGGAACAAACTCGGACAAATATTGCATATGAAAATATGCAGAGAGAAGAGTTATGCGCGGTCGGGGATCTGCTACTCACGCTAGTCCGGGAATCCTTCATTTCGGGCTTGGGTTTGCTAATTCTCGTCGAAGCCCTGATCTCTTTCCTCAGCGTTCTGCAATTTTTTGACTGGAAGTTCAGCTGAAAAAAAGAGAAAGCAATTCATTATGGGAATATGGGGAGTGCGACCTCGTGGAGAAAATCAGAGAAACGATGACGCAGCCTGTAAGACCTGATTTGTATAAAATCTGGCGGAACTCTAGTTCCTCGCCAAGCAGAATTGAACGTTGAAGGGAGCCCACTGTTCGAGTTCGCCTCCGACAGAAAGAGAAAACTCGGCCGAATTCGTTCAGTAATCTCATATGTTCACGCACCCGATCCGGGCCGAGAGCGGGGTCTCCGCGCAGGGCTTCAATGGGAGGTACCCTCATGTCGAGCTCTTGCTTTCGTTGGTCGGCTCCTGTTGCCTCTGCGATCGCGGTTTTCGGGCTTTCGCGCTGAACAACTTCAGAGACCCTCCGGAACGTGGAGTGGTCAGCGGCAAGTTTTCGGTCTTTCGGAGTCAGAGCCTCCGGAGACGTTGCTGCGACCATATTCTGCCCAAGCGCATTATAACCAGAGTTCTCTTCTCCAGCTGAGAGCGCCCACCAGTGTCCCAGATGTGATGAGTCGCGCGACCTCAACCGTTGAGGTCTGCTGGACCTTCGTCTTGGGGTTGAGCTCGTGTCAACTGTAAGGAATTCGATTGATAATTTACGGATGATTTGAGCATCTATTATGAATCATGAGATGAGATACGGGCATCATTGTGAACCTGAGCTAGGTACCGCACCCGAGTTCGGATCGAGATTCTTAAGATGCCGCCCGCTGCGACGAAGCGGAGGTTTTTCGATCACCATTGGCGACTCCAGCTTTCGTGGTTCGGCAGTCCTTTCCTTGAGCCCCGTGGTTTCAAGCGGATCCTGGAGAGGTGTTGAACTTCCCAGGCCAATCTTCTCACCTCCAGACAACTTCGAAGACGATCTCAGTGCGATCCGTGAACCATCGAACGATCCACTATCTGACGGTAGGATGACGTTCACCTAGAGACGGGTAAAAGGAGTTGAAGGCACGAGAAGAGAGACGATGGTGACGTTCAAGCGCTTCACGGCGCCCGGGGCGTTCAACGGAAATTTCAAACTTCCGGACGCGATCAATCAAAATGCCGCCCCCCAGTCCGAATATTTTTCGGGAGAAATTCCGGAAATTTTCACGTAAATAGCCGTTTTTTTTCATGTCCGGGGCAGACCGTCCCCCCCCTCCGGAGCACGCTACTGTGGGAGAGGCTCTGTTCGTCTCGACACAAGCCTTTCTCGAAAGATGGCTCTGAGGTCATCGAGAGACGTCCATGCGATGAATTCAAGAGGTCAAATAATAGGATCCGGCACAAAACCAAATTCGCGGAGGGTTGCCTTAGAAAAGTATGATGAACGATGAAAAGAGCTCCGAGCTTCGCATATCTTCGAGTGATTCCTGCTGGAAACAGAAAAAATCATTCGAATCGATGTTTCATGGATGGGAAAGACTCACCTCAGGCAGCACAACATCCTCGACTGGCACCGTGATCTCAGGCTCAAGGTCGGAAAAGGAAGGCGGATCCAGAGCCTTCGGACTCGGCTCCCCGAACCTCCGCCGTCGACGTCTCCTGTAAGACATACCCCCTCGATTACGCTCGGCTTTACTGTTCGTTGCGGGAAAATTCGTAGAGAAATCCATGCTGGGAGCCATAATGGATCCGCGGTGTCAAGCAGCTGTGACACGATCCCAAATGCACTCCCGAGGAGCCGATGCATGACGGAGACGCAGCCAGACAGATCAGCCTCGGACACCCCATCGGCGGGGGTCTGCACCACCTATTCCTTTTCCCCCCACCGGTTTCCTTGTAATACCCTACGAACGTTCAAGCTCTGCAAATCTCAGCTGACATACTCTGCATCTCCCAAGCACTGACCTTTTCGGGAACAAAGAAAGACCCATTGTGGTCAAGGAGTGAATCGAGACTTCCTATTCGTGGGGAGGAACAATCCAACACGGTACTCTCCAGGAATCGCGCATGCTAAATCATTGCAGGGGGATACATGATCCAACAGCCGCCCTGTTCCCGATTCAAATTTCAAAATAGCACCTAATCATCGTTCACCACTCGGAGGTCTTTAGCAATTGTACACACGCCCTGCAGAGACACAAAGAAAAATTCACAGCGAGCCATTGCTTCAACGACCCACCAAAGTCGAAATACCTCGAGGCTCTGGGCTCGCTCTGCGTCCAAGAAGTCAGCAGGTTAGGGGATTTATCCACACCTTATCATTGCAATGAGTCTCTCCATCCTCCAGGGGAAATCAGCTTCACCACGCGTGGCAGTAGGCAAAGATCACAAGCAGGACGACGACGCAAGCAGCGGCGGCTCCTGCGCGTGCGGACTCTCTGTATACAACAGGCGGCGGCGAATCGACCGCAGACGAGAACAAATCTACCCCCGGACGAGTCTCTTCAAAGTATTTCGTGACATCGAATTGGGATCTCTCCTTCGAGTTGCGTGTCCCTTTTGTGCTGTGGAATTATCATCTGCGGAATCAAATTCCCACACCTCCAGTGAGATTAATCTCTCATTCTGGGACCGGAGTTTGAGACCTAGGAGCGCGATGTCAAACGATAACGGAGAAGGTTCAAACTCAGTGACCGCTGTAGCTGCCGAAATGAATCAAGACGAGGCAATAATTGCACAGGAGAAAGCGATCGAAAAAGAAATATCGGAGTCGATCCCTCTCATCGATCAGAAGAAACCGCTCACCGGCCTCGGTAAGATAGACCGCTGTCATTCGAATTGCGACGTGAACCTCCCACAATGCAGCGTGAAGGAACAAGAGCTGGCATAGGGGGAGCCCGCTTTCAATTATATGTATCTTTTGAGCCGCCGGTACCGTGTCGATGGGGAGGAACGAATTCACTGACCCTCTAGAGAAGGGGAAAAAATTATGATTGACAAACTACTCCACGGTATCCCAACGGAGAACTCCAGGCTCCGGATCCGAATCCATTCCCGGGAGTAATCGGGATTTTGCAACATCTGCTCAGGGTTTGCGATATGAAATCGGAAAGCAGACTGCTTGCGATTGAAACCTTGTTCCACTCTTTCCGACTTGACGACCCGGATCTTCCATCTTCCATTGTCAATATCTTCGGGGGCACCTTGCATTCATAAGGCTTCTCTTCCCCAGAGATGGAATACGCAGCTGATGACGCGGTGTACCAAGAAAAGCTTCGGGATCTAGAATCACGTTTCGGTTTCATTCGGAAAGCTCGTCCCGACGGCAATTGCTTCTACAGGTACAGAGATTTCTGAATCTGAATATGAATTCCGGCTCATGTCGTCTCTGCTGAGTTATCATCCATCTCATCATGACGGCCAATGCGCAAGTGTTCGAGAAGAAGTCAATGAATCGGATTCTAAGCTCCCTTTTCGATCGCAGAGCCTTCGGTTTCAACTATCTGGAATCTATGCTGTCAGACAGGGATGAGCTACGGCGCTTCAAGGATCTCTTGACCAGGAGTCGGGAGGAGCTCATCACCCTGGGACTCTCAGAGTTCGCAGTCGATGATTTCCACGAGGTGTTCTGCGACGTGAGTGGAGTCTATCTTGATCCCTTCTACGCGTCGTAGAGACGGGGATGTCCCTCATTCCTCCGATCACCCTATCTCGTCGCAACGAAAATGCGAATTCGTCTGCGGAGCGAACTCAAACCATTCTGAGAGTCGAGATTGCGGCTCAATGATCCTCTATTCTCCACAGGTGTTGCGTCGTTTGGAGGAGAAACCCACCATCCTTGAACTTCACTCGATCTTCAATGATAGGGCGCTATCGGAATACTTGGTCGTATACCTCCGTCTGCTCACCTCGGGCCAGCTGCAGAAGGAATGCGACTTCTTCGGAGCGTTCATCGAGGGCCATCGCACACTCAAAGATTTCTGCAAGCAGGAAGTTGAACCTATGTACAGAGAGTCGGACCACATTCACATTATCGGTCTGACGCGCTGCCTGGGTATCGGCGTCCGAGTGCTGTACATGGACAGGGCATCGACCGATGGAAAGGTCATCCAGCACACATTCCCGGACGATGCGACGCCAAGGTAAAATAAATGTAGATTTGTGGAACTCCGATACGTTCGTTCGTTCATTCTGCATGTTGGATGATGATATTTGATCATAATAGAAGGCAACGCTGAGGACTCTGTTTTCCTTCCAGAGTATTCCTGCTTTATCGACCCGGGCACTACGACATCTTGTACCCGATCGGCAACGCCGAGAGCGAGCGAAAGTAAAGAGATCGGTTGGAATCAACCGGGACGATCCTTCGCATTAAGCATAGCATGATTGATTGAACGAGCGAGAGAGCGATCGATTGATCGACCGATTGATCTGGGGATCAATCCCTCTTCTGATGTACATCTCTGAGCACGATCGGCAATCACAATCTCTCTTCGACTTCAAGTCGAAACAAGGGGACCTGACAGCCGCTTCGAACAATAGACGGGAATGCAAGTGTTTCACTCGTGCCGATCGCTCTCTAGCTCGGTTGATGGTTTCACTTAGGTAAGATCCACGATGAGTGTGTGTATACTTGAGCCCCGCTCCAGCTTTGTTCACTTCGGAATGTGGTTTCTTCCTCCACGACTCCTTGAATTCTAGAATTGGACTCGTCAATCCTTCCCCATGTTCGAAGACGAGAGTTGGGTCGTTACGATTTATGTCGATGATTGTAGTTCCGGCGTCAAGGCCTCAGGGGGAGCGAACGCGTATTGCGAATCCTTCGACCCGAGCCCTACGAATCCACCTTGTCGGGGGACGATTCTTCGTGAGATTGCTAAAAACGGAGCACTGAAGGGTGATGATGTAATGATGCTAAAGTTCGTCCAAGACCTAATAAATATCGGAGTGTACAGACAAATTGCTTATTCTATGCACGGTAGATTCCATGACCATGGGGGTCGCCCCACATACGGATTTGTGTTCGGGTGGGTCTGATTCAATCATACAAACAGCTTCAGTGAGACCCGTCCCGGAGGAAGACACCACGGCTCCGGCGGGAAGATCTTCGACTGGAAAGTGGATAAATCCGAGTTGTGGTCTGACACGTGTAGGGAATGAGACGGAGCAAGAAACCTGGGGAGCGACTCCTCAGAGGGCTCCGATGAATTTTGGTCAGTTCGGAGTGCTCCAACAGTACATTATAACGGAAGTCCCGTGAAGCTCCTAGTCAATACTGGATGCCGCTCTTCCGACGCAATATTTGCCGTAGATTTATTTATTTACAACAAAGATCAACCTCCCGAGACAACGTACAAGAAGACAATGATGTAGGCAGCTCAAACGATAGAAGTTACATATCCCTAGCCAGAATATTTCCTGTTCAGTCTCCATCCAAGGTTCAGCTCGTTGTTCATGAGATTTTTCGTCGATGATGTCAGCGAAATTCCTCACAGCTATACTTGGACGGCTTGCTTTACGCGGATTCCCTCGATCGCTGGTCTAAGCTTTCTGTAGAGCAATACAGTAGAGGGAACAGAGCCTTCTTCATAACATCCCCGAGTGCACGTCTACGGCAAAAAAATTCCGAGCTGCAGTTCGTCGATGAGAGTAGAGTCGTCGTAGTCGCGGCTGTGTCGTATAGCGTTGTCCAAATTCGCGCTAAAACAATTTCAGGTGTGTAATACGATTCGTCGATCGATGGTCATCCCGGTGATTCGAATTATCCTCCGCATCGTCGATCAGCCAGCCGCGTTCTGATACTCGAATGAAACCGAACGCCGCGGAGAATCAGAACCTGATCGTCCGAATCGGCCAGGACGTTCCTTCCCACTAAAGATGACGGCTACGGCAAACTACCATGTCTTGTTGACCCACAAGACGCCTTTCACAATGAAGTAGAATAGCGCGATAGAACAAAACGCGACTTCTCGCTGTTGCCGCTCTCGGTTCTCGGCTTCTAGGACAGCCAAACGTCTGGAATAAGAACTGCGGGAATTACCAGACTGAGCTCGAACACTACTCACAAAGGCTCGCTGCAGTTTTAGATCAGATTCCCCATTATGAGATTGTCTGACCGGTAGTTGGATAGTTTAGCCTCCAACTAACCTGCGAGTATCTCGGAGCTGCTTCTTGAGAGATGAGATGTCGTCTCGGGAAATGTCGCCGGGCGGTGTCTCTATTGTCGAATTTATGAGTTTTTCGTCGTCGAAATCATCGAAATTATTGGATGGCTCTTCGAATTTCACCTGCTGGTAAACTCATCCATCAGTCTCTATCGACGACGTCCGATTTCGTCTATTCAGGGAGAGACCCGGCTCTCTCCGTCTTATCGTTCGGGAATTCTAGACTGTACCTTCTTGACTGTGTTGTCTTCGAGCGACGGAAAAGTATGATGATCCAGAGTCAAAGTCCTCGGCGGCGCCGTCAAGTGAATCGGGTCTTGGAGTTCGAAAATGTTGCGCTCGAGTTTGGCCTCCGGCAGAGGATCCCTGCCCGAAATGTGGCGACCTCCCGCATCTGGGACGGAACAATCGCTCTGTATCTCTGCTCTCAAATCTGAACAGCCCGCATCTCCGGTCTGGCACAGGTATTTCGGAAGCCATGTCCGAAGGAAGAATGGGAAGGAAGAAAGGGAAGAAAAAGCTACGCAAACTCTGTGTCGCGATCTCCCGGCTCGCTACGATCACCTACCGATCAGAATCCGGTCTGGAACATGCATGAATAGAGCGTTGTTGGTAACGTGGGGCTCGCCAATTGACTCGATAGGTTTCATCGCGTCTGGATCAACGACTGAGATTCTCTGAGGCACACGCATCTTCGTGGAGATCTCCTGAGTGAAATCAGGATCGTAGAAATCTTGCCCGCCGCCCCCTATCCGTCCATTCTTCTTTGACGATTCACTTGACATCTCGATCGAGTTGGAATCTTTCAAAACGAGTTTGAAATGAAGAAACTCTCAAGTATTGCCGTTGCAAAAAACTCAGCAAAGGTTGAAGGGCTTCCGACTGCCGAAACCCGAGTCACTGAGTTCCTGAAGATCCCGGACAACAGCCGCGTACGACTCTCCTAATCTCAGGGAGAATCTACGAGGAGCACACGCACGTATGTGACAACTCTGTCTGTTTCCTCTCCGCAATTCTTCTCATCTCGACCCTCCGTTTCGCTGGTGTCAACAAGATACACTCGAGAAATCCCAAACAGCAGCTGATTCGAGACCGTATGCAGTCTCTCCTTGCGCCGAAAGCGCTGTCGGGGATCGAGGAGCTCGGAGTCTCGAGCGATGTCATCCGATAGTCACGGGGTGACGGCTCAATATATCGAATGGAAGGGCAAGGGGCAAGCCGATCTTGGGTGAAATACCGAAAGAAACTCGCCGCTTGCCGAGTCCGGACAAGCTGTGGAGGAGCAGACGAAAAATTGAGCATCAAACGGTCAATTCGTGTGCGGCCATCCGCGGACGAGCGAAAAGCGGCAACCTTTCGAATCGCGCGCTGATCCCGCTTGCCTACCCCGAGTCAGAACTACGACTACCATTCTTAACTATATCTCCCCTCAATCACCCAGCGATCTCCCCTCAATCACCCGGCGATATTCCGCTACCGATTATTGGCATCGTTCCCCATTCGCTTTGCCCGATGGTTTCCCTCCTTTATGGCGGATTCCCAGCCGGTTGAAAAGTGGTTCGCCGCGAACATTCACGGGAAAGGGGCGCGGATTCCACTCGCGAGGGCTCCCTTCCCAGATGTAACGATTTTCTCAGGGCATTCCCCCCTCCTGATCCCGACTCAGAATCTCATTTGAATGAAGAACGGTTCTTGAAAAGTACTGCTTATCCGGGCCGCTGAGAGACGGAAAGTCTTGCTGATGCTTTGGGGGTGCCAGTCATTCACCGGCGAGACCCCCGTCCCATGGTATTGCATATATTGTCTCTGTGTCCCCGTACTGTATATACACTCAATGTGATATCGACTCCAGCAACGCGGCATCTCGAATCGAACGCGACTCAAACAAGATCTTGATGAATCCTCGGGAACCTCGAAAGTCCTCCTTGGAAGAGTAGGTTTCTCCGGAACTCTCTTGCGAAGTCTCGCGAACTCAAGGAGTCGGAGCTCTGGGGATGTTCAAGACGTCATTTCTAAAATGACGGCCAGGTGTTCAGCTCGGGGATGTTCCATTTATTTTCAGGCTCCCAGTCGCCGTGGCAGCAGCGAAGTGATTTTTTACATACACGCCAGTAAAAAGACCGATAAATGCAGCACGTCTGTCTATTATATGTATATGTATGTAAATCAAAATGCATCGGTCCGGATGTTGGCCCATCGACTTCCGCAACTGACACTGTAGGGCTCATGTTCGACGGCGGCATCCTCAACTCTGCCCCGAAACCGAACAGCTCTGAGCAAATCTCCGGATGTTGAATTACTGCCATCAAGTTATGATCGGTGAGGAATTCGGAATCAAACGAAATCCTCATATGGACGCCCGGGAGACTGCGACCTACTTCCGACTCCGCGGTACCCTTCTTGCGAGCCTCAGGAACATCAACTGGTGGGAACGCTGGTGGGAGATTCTTGCTGCAAAGTCGCCGTGTGCACGAAGTAGTCAAGCCGTTCTCGATGCGAGAAATGCGAAACGAAGACATCGACGACATTGGAGAATTTCGGGAGCGTGTGCTTGACCTTCATCAGCACTCTGCAGTCCACATGCTGGGCTAGCACATGAGCCCGAATGGTGTTTCCTGAGGGATCAAGTCGAATCCGATCGCGAACGTTGGAAGAGGTCCACAGACATTTCACAGAGAGCCAGCCGCACAATTTCGATTGTCAATGCCTGCGATGGGTCCCATGCTCACCTGCGTCACAAAGAACCATCGCTGATGGCCACTTGCCGACAATGTAGTTGTGGACCCTGTCGATGTCCTCCTGGATATCGGTGCTTTCTGCGGTATGAAGCATCCTATCAATGTCGGGCGGACGAGCTAAAGAGCCAGGACACCAGAAAACTTCGACAAATGACGAGAAGGGGTTCACGCTCACCTCCTGGGCGCTGGGGGACCATCTTGACCACGATGACGTAACCTCGAGGCAGCAAGGAAACGAGTTCATCTGTCTTCAGCAACATGAGCAGCTTCCGTTTCCCCACTATGGCAACTTTGGTGAAATTTATGTGCTGGCAGTCTTCGAAACAATCCGTCGCGAAGACGATCGTAACTGCAGAATGAGGAAATGATAAGCCATCTTCTTCGCACTCTCTCAGAAAATCGAGCTCGATAGGTCTCCCAGAGATAGTGAGAAAAAGTTCGAAGGTATCGTTGATCCAGCAGCCAGACCCGATGTCAGGAAGAGCCCGATGGCTTTCCAGAGAATTTCCCTCATCGTTTTCTCGAGTCCTTTCGTAGGCTCGTCAAGGAGCACGATGCGAGGCCTACCCACGAAAGCGAGCATGACGGCGACCACTCGGTTCGTAGCCGCATCCAACGCTCGCATGGGGCTACCGGCCGAAGGACAGGGGTTAGTAGAAACCACTTCGTTCACCTAATTCTCGATGAATCATGACGAGGCATACTATCGAAGCTGACCGCACCTGTTCATGTGATGATTCATTTCGAAAACGCTCGCCAAGCTGCGGCAGTATTCATCCAAAACGACTCCAGGGATCCCTCGAACCCTGGCGTTCAACTTCAGAAGCTCGAGTGGCGTGAAATTATACGGGAGGGCAAAACCTTCAGAGAACATATTGATCCCTTCGTCCGTGGGAGACTTGCCATCAAGAAGGACCTCTCCCAAGTACGGCCTCATATATCCCCGGATCATCTTCAGTATTGTCGTTTTGCCACTTTCTGTAAGATATTGAATTCAAAGGCTCGAGCATAATGGTCTCTTGCTTCTGAGACCCGACTCCCGCTTTTTTTTGACGGAACTTTCATTCGTATCCGATAATTCAGGAGCCTCTCTTTCTGTTCTGACAACTCACTACGATCCCCGAGGAAACAGATACTTTCACCGGAAGCGACGTGGAAGTTGAAGAAATTCCGGTCGAAGAGGCCAACATTCTTGAAGACGAGGTCTCCCGGAAGAGACTGCGTTTTCCACGCGTTCAATTCCTGCAACAAAAGAGATAGCTAGTCCCTCCGCCATTCAAAGATATGCGATCGACCAGTCGGACGGCCGGCACTGACGAACCTTGAACGCCAGGGCTGCTTCCCTCGTGATAGACGGATGATCGTTCTTGTTGGTTATGGGATACGCCACCGTTTTGAACAATGGTTCACCCAGTTTCTCCTCTTCCCCCCTGGCTCTTTTCATTTTCCAAGCCAAGAAGAGTCTGTAGCAAGACTGTCCAGACACGGCAACGACAATGAAGAAGACATGCAGAACGAGCGAGGTAGTGATTATCCGAACTGAAAAATAAATCCTTTCTCCCCGAGATCTTGGGCATGAATATCCTCTTCGGGATAGATTCCCCTAGAAGGAGCCTAGACTAGATGTTCACCATTAGCTGGCACACCGCGTTGGATGCAGTCTTCGAGGACGAGGCAAAAACGCTCAGGTTGGCAACAAGGCCGTACTCTGTCGGGGGTCGTCGGGCAGATATAATCATGGAAGATATTGTTATCGCACTTCGACGTATACAATCGATTAGCTCGAGAGGCCGTTCCGAGACTTGTTTGAACTGCAAGAGATGGGAATTCACAGACATCCGTTCGTCGAAACAGCGATCAAAACAAAAGAGGCTGAGGGGAATTTTCCGTCAGGGACTTCCGCCGGTCGGCTCTGAGGTTCGAAACTTACTGAAACAGGGTGTGAAGAGCGCCAGCAATCCGTAGAGTCTATATCTACCATACGTATCACCCGACTTATGCCAATAACTCGTCTGCTGGAAAATGATCTGACCCCAGACCGAAAGACTGAAGTAGATGCCGAATACCCAAAGCAGGATTGTTCTGGAGGTCAGAGCGACGAGACATTTTTTGTAATTCTGAGAGAATTCTTCTGGGGGAATGTTCGAGCGTACGAGTACCAAACATGAATCGGATCCGAGTCCTGCTACTCCACGCACGCCCTACCGAGTCGGGAGGAGAGCTTCTCATGGGCAAGTTCCCCCAGATGATGCTTACGTTCTGCTCCCCTTGAGAACTAGAGAAATCACCAACTGTCGCAGCGTTTGCTCAGACGTAACAATGATGAATAGCGAGTGCAGGAAAGATGGGAGCCACTTCGACTGTAGGAGGAACAGCGTCATGATGTTGTTCATGAGGATATCTAAGATCGGAAAAATAGTTCATAGATACTGAGCATCTCGGGCACGTCAGTGAGGGAAATGGATAGCTCATGGTGATGGACCCGCAGTTTCATGGAGTGTTTCAAGCTACCCCCTCGTGCTTCGGGATCCACGGAGCACTTTGATACTGACCTTTCAAGAGGACAGCGCTGTATAGCGCCATGACGAAGGCAGACCTTCTCGTGCCGAGTATCGAAGAAGTATCGTCCGAGAACTGCTCGAGAAACTTCGTGAAGAAGCGCAAGTTGAGAATGAGGCGAGAAGCACACAGCGCATTCACCAGGAGCACTAAACGCATCGGCATCGCGCCTTATGGGGGAATTAGAGTGTTCTCATCGATGGTGTTGTAGGGGGACGATACTACAGCATCAGAATGGATCAGATAGCGAAAAAATTCATTATGGAGTAGGACTCACTCGACGCCTGCTGCCACGCTACGTGGAGCGGAGAGCGAAATTCTTCGATTATATACTTCCATTGCGAATCGACAGCATTTAGTAAGCCCTCGAGTATTTTCACTGGGGTCGCGGCGAGAGTGTTCGCCTGGATTTCAACATCGGTCACTTTTCCATTGGGATTCTCGAAGAAGCTCACGATGAAGTGCCAGTCGTGAGGCACGACTCCGGGAGGCAATTCGCTACAATAGATCGCGACAAGAAATCGGGGATGTCAAATTCACCATATTTAGGGTGCATCCAACATCGGTTCCTGTCCCCGAAACCGGTCCAAGAGTTCATGATAAACTCACTGAGCTTTCATGGAATCCTGGAATACTCGGGGCAGATCTCCTCTTAGGCCTGGCGCAGAGTGGTTGACATAGACCTTGCCCTCTAGGAACGGGAGGGAGGGGATTGAGCTAGTGGGAATCGACATCAATACGTTGAGTGCGAGATACGCAACATGACACCAGACGAGTGCAGTGTCGCGCAGAAAGTGCATCGCAGCGAGTTCTGTAAAGATGGTTCATGGAGTTTGGCCGAATATCGATTTGTCATCAAGTTCCGGAGCCCATATCAATCGAATCTATCGGCTGCTCCTCGTCGTCGCAGAGCGTCTAGCATACTCACTGCTGAAACCATAAAAATGAAGAAGCCAATTCTGGAAAGAGAATCGCCGAATTTGATCTCTCTTGACGAAGCTCACTCTCATGTGCGTATTGAAAGCTCGAGTACGTAGTCGACGTGCTTGAACTTCACTTTCGAAATCAGCAACTCGGGCTTCTTCTTTGGCCTTCCGAATTAGGATCGATATTATTGGTCCATAGACTCGGATCAGGCTGAAGAATGTCGGTCCTCTGCCTCGGAGAAGGTCAACGTCGCACCACTTACACCCAAGAGCATTTCCAGTACTTCCACGAAAGAAATATCCGCCACCGAGACGGCGAGAACCTTGATTTTCGCTTTATCCTCCTCGATCGTTGTCAACATCTCGTGTAAATCGTCTGAATCTTTGAACTTGACCCGTAGAAGTATATGGAGAACGTCATCGGACGCAACAAGTAGCTGCGAGCAGTGAGGCTCGATGTAGGGAATCACCGCCTCCAGGCGGCATCGAGGCTCTTTGATGAGCTCGATCGAGTTCTTCAGCTCTGTAGGAACGAATGACCGTGAGAATCATTTACGATCATTGTATGCTTGATTGCCGCTCGATCTTGGCGGCCGTCGCATTCATCGGATAGAGCTCACTGCACTTATTCTTGATCGACAGCGGCGGTCCTTGGATCAAGCAGACCTTATGATGCTCGATGACAACATGGTCTGCCACTCTTTCGATGTGTTGGTAGTCTCTACTCAGCAAGAGCACCGTGGTCTTTTTTCTCGCTTCGCTGAGCGAATACATCACCTATAACTCCGGGAGAATTCTGCTTCAGAACGATTCAGCTTTCCGGAACCGTTTAAGAACATAAGGTTCGCATGACCGCGGGATCTCCTACTGCCGAGTTCCCCAGGCTCCGACCGCGGACGGTGAGAGGCCCCCGCGGACCGCTCGCTCCGCAGGCTCGGACAGCTGGGGAGTCTCACCGTTTCGATGTCTTCGTCGTCGATCCCTTGCAAGGGCTCGAGGAAAACCATGAGGTCTGTCTCGACCGTTAACGCGGAAATAAGGGCCACAATTCTTTTCTGCGATTTCGATAGATAGGAGACTCGCGTATCGCGCAAGTCCTCCAGGTGGAAGCGCTTCAATAATATTTCAAAAAGTGCTGAGTCTCGAGGTCCTGCATGTTTTGGAAGAATAATGATCATTATCGAAGGTATAGTGATCCAGCGCTGAAGTAAATGGGACTCCGATGCTCTCTTAAACGGCGCGATGACTTTCTCGGAAGACGTTATACAGGGTTCAGAGACAAAAGGATTCACGCTGGAGATACTGACCTCGTGAGCCTTGGGCGAAATGAATATTTTCATCAACTGTCAGCTCGTCGAAGTAGAAGGAAGACGGGGCACATATGTACGGAAGCTGAGTCCGCTCAGAACCTTCTTTTTTCAACGGCGGATCTAGTCCAAGGAGAACCGAGAGACTTATTCCCAGCGGTCAAGGAGGGATGATTTGACGTAATTCCATTCCGAACAGATTTTCGTAGGAACAATCACTAACGGAGGAAACCACATGGATCTCTTATCAAGAAACGTACTATAGTATACAGAACCCTTATAGGATTTGAAGAGATCTGCTATGATGCTGGCCACAGTCTCCAAAAAGAGATCTGACTTGCTCAGAACTGCTGTGATCGAGTAGAAGGGTACCGACATGTTGAAGTCCTTCAATACGTCTTCCGCATGAACTGAGCAGGTGACCTCTCTGAAACGCAGGATTGATGGGAAATTGCCTTGGGTCGACGTATTCCTGCTGTCTGACGATTGTGTTCCCATTTGGAAGTCCATAGCTTCTTCGCCAACGTTCCAACGGACGCCCGCGTCGGGCTGTCGACGGTACATTCCCCATTCGAACATTGTCTCATTGAATGACAGGTGTAACTGCCGGCATCGATTCGAAAAACGAAGAGCCCATCTCATGAGGATGTAGTTCACAAACATATGTGAAATTAGCACAATTAAGAAAGTCTTGCTCTGCAGGCTCCATCCGGGGACGTTGTGAAGGAAATCCCCTTCGAGGTCGCAGAGGAAACATTCCAGTTTTCCAGCTGCAATTAAATTATCGTCTTATTGTGATCGAGTTGAAACACGCTAATCAGTGATCGGGAGCAGTATGTCCTCGAGATGCGTGTTCAGATTAGTGCCAGAGCTGACTCACTGTCGAGGTTGCGAATAATGATGGAGCGTGCGTCAAGGAGGAAAGCCGCGAAGGGTGTAACGAACACGCGTAGATTGTCGTATCCGTTGTAACAGAAGGTATTCATTATGTACGGATCGAATCCGTACAGAATGTCGAAGAGCATCAGCAGAAGATATACGAGCTGTGCCCTTGCTGAAAGATTTTGCGATGTTCAGCTGTGACCTCGCTGGAGTGGAACCATTAGGCATTACCTTCCTCGAGACCATCGATACTGTGGAAGTCAGAACCTTGCTCGAGCAGCCATTCGAGAGATCATTGCTCACTGAATAGAATTCCGAGAATCGTGGTTTGCACGAGCTTCACGGAACCGAACACGAGCGTTGACGGTATCACGTGCGACAGTTTGCTGCTCGAGGACGTCGGGCTCGTGTCATCGATGAATTGGACGACCATCAGCCAGATCCTTGAACAGGCCGTGATGAGGCAAACCTTGAATTCCGAAATACCTCCCATTGCATCGTAACCCCCTTATACTATCCAACTATTCAAAAGGCAAGGTGCTAAGGAATATCCAATCATCAGATCAGAAGAGCAAGAAGCTGACCTGCATAAAGGCCAGTCCCAGCCGAACGTGAGCGAGTGAACTATCACTCAGCCCTATTGTTCGCAGGTAGAAAATTTTGCGATGCTCCTCTTTGCTGACCAGAGCCAGTAGATTTAAGCACACGATGCTGTACATCAACAAGAAACTGAAGGCCAAGTAACTGTAGAAGCTCTGGGGTAGGAGGAGATTATTCCCATGAGCCTAGCTAAAGGAATCAGATACATTTGACCGGACGCAGACGAGGATATTATGACGCCGTCACTCACAATGGATTGGAAGTCCAGATGTCTCGAAGGTAGTGGCATAGAGCTCACGAATAGGTTGCCGAAATTCTCCTTCCAAACCTCTGACTGCCGAATCGAGCTATACAACCTGCAGACCGTTCGGTCAGATATCCAAGACCGAATCAGGGGTCCGGTCTCGCGTTGCACCAAGAAAGACCCATAGTAAGAAACGGGATTACTGGGGATCTCGATCGAAGTATGATGAAGAGTAATGATCCAATGAGACATGACGCAGTACTGATGAGTTAAGGAGAGATCCCACAGGGACACCCTCGCGGAATCAGTCCGAATGCAGAGGAAGAGCTTCCATGATTCCTCTTCGCTAGCCCTGAGAGTAGTGCGCGAATCCATGATCCAGTCGGGTTAACGAACTATTCTAATTATTCTCTGCTATACAGAGGCTTCCCCCGAAAGTAACCCAATGGTGCGATGACTTCCCTCGCGAGGAAAAGTTTTCGAAGCTTTGTGGATTATATCATGGCCGAGCCCATACTCACTGTATGGAGTATCTGTCGAGAATGAACTTTTGTGCGGTTTGCCAGTGAGCGGCAAAACCGAAACGCTTTTTCCCACCTCCCAAATCCTTCGCAAAAAGTGCGAGGGGTTGGAGAAAGGGTCTGATCTTCTTCATGTATATCTCTGGTTTGCCCATCAATATGTCCGCCTGGTCGGTGTAGTTCACCGCTGCGGTATGGGGATAGTAAACGCTCGGATTCATCTAGCGGGAAGAGCGAGCACCGTCAAAGTCGAGCCGTCATGACTAAATAGGCGGCGCCATCTGTCGGAAGACATTTGCACCCACCTCGAGATCACAGTTTTCTGAGAAATTGAAGAGATGCGCCTTGAGTGAGTTCATTCTGGCGGAGCTCACGTGAGATCGGAACGAAGTGAAACATGAACTCATCACGAGCGAGATCAGGAGCGGCAAAGTGATCCAATATTTCCACGACCGTATCATCCTCTTCACCAGTAGACCGTAGAAGTCCAAAGAGAATCCGCGCTTCTCCTCGCGAATCATCTCCTCGGATGTATCTCTCGGAGCGTCGAGAGTTGTTGAGAGACGAGACGGAAACTTCGTTGTATGCGTAATCTGAGTCTTTCTCCATGCGAACGCGAGTGGAATCGATTCCACCCAATCCGGGGACTCAGCTCGCTGAAACCCGGGGTTCTCCTGATGCCTCGCTGGGAGAGGGAGCAGGTTCGACTGTATCGAACTCGGTCGCAGAGAAGTTCAGCATGAACGTCCATAATCTGAAGACAGAGAGGAGTCTCGTGTGACCTCGGCCGCGATATCGGGATATTGGGGGAGCTCCTTGCCAAGATTTCGGAATTTCGGCTTTGACTTTCCAAGGCGCGCTAACATCGCGTGGAGCCCGCCTCTTTTTGAAAGCGCTCAGAGCGTTCCTGTTGGGAAGAGCGCAGTCGGCCCTCAGCTGTTCGAATGGAACGAACAGCTGATCGGCATGTGCGCGATGAAAATCCTCCGCTTCATCATTGATTCAATCTCGATGAGCACTTCGAAGTCAAGTTCACCCGCCGTATGACAGAGTCTCCGATGCGTGTCAGTGCACTACGATGACGCTGTTCAAGCTTAGTGTTCTCCTTCTGAGAACGGCTGTCGAGTCAAGAGCCTTGTCTCAATGGACTATACAGAGGAGGTTCCGATCAACCATATTTGCATTGTCGACCGCATATGTCAAAAGTGCAGTAGCCGTATTCAGAGTTTCGGGACCGGAAGCGGGTAAGCCGTGAGCATCCTGAATGGGAGTTCTCGTCCCGTCTTATGCGAGAGAGCAGAGCCCGCATGCGTGAGACGCTGGGATAGTTGGCCGGAGACGATTCTATCTCTTCCATGATTCTGAAGTTAATTCTGTTTTTCTCCCATAGCACGCGTGATGTCCCTGATTGGCAACATTGAGAGCCCGGAGCATCGTCGCGCGTACGTACGACGACTCCGCCATCCCGTCACCTCGAAAATCATCGATAGTGGAGTCATGCTGTGGTTCAAAGGACCATCATCGTTCACCGGTGAGACTTTGAGAGGAACCGAACGCAGGAGCTGAGTCGTTCATAATCCCCGTTCTCAATCGATGCAAATACCATGATCGATCTTCTCAGGCGAAGATGTTTGTGAACTCCAATGCCATGGGAGTATCGCCGTGATCAAAACACTGTCTTCCGCACTCGCTTCGATCGACGGCTTGAGAATGGCGGAACCTGGCGAGTTCGCGAAAAGAGCGTTCCACAACCGGAAACTGGATCTGTCCGACGCTGAGAGTCTCGCGGATCTCATCGACGCGGAAACTGAATCCCAGCTCGACCAAGCTATACGAGGTTTTACATGAATGTCCGCCCGTGGGGGAATTCTTAGGCGATAATTCACGCCTCGGATGATAGGATAGTTCTTGCCAACAATACTTTTCCCCTCCTCTTCAGGCAGTCAATTGTCCGGCGTTTGCAACCAGTGGATGTCGCAGATAAAAGAAGCGATGGCCAACTTCGAGGCCTACATTGACTTTTCGGAGGACCAGGATATTCCCGCTGAAGAGGTACGGATCAGACAAGGTACCTTGCGGGTGACCATTCCACCGAGAATTATCGACTGACATATTTCTTCCCTGTCGAAGGTAGTCAAGAACGTGCGCTCTACTCTGCGGAACACTCTTCTAGAAATTAGGCTGGCCTTGCAGTCGGCTCCAAGAGGACATGCTATCCGCACTGGGTTCCGAGTAGCAATCACAGGTCAGACGATAGCATTTCTGTGCGCGATTGCGGGTAGCCTCCAACGGAGAATCTTACCAGGGCGCATTCCGAACTTAAAACGCTCCAACAGGTCGCCCAAACGTCGGTAAATCAACTTTGATGAACATTCTCTCCCAACAAGAGACATCTATTGTCAGTCCATCAGCCGGCACGACCCGAGATCTGGTGAAAACTACCCTAGGTGTGTGGGCAGAAAACTTCACGGAGGACTTATCAAAGAATGTACATTTCCTCGTGCGCTTGAAATTCCAACAACTTTTCTAGACCTTGGTGGATTACCGATCGTTCTCTGCGACACTGCTGGAATCCGGTCCGATACGGATGATGCTGTCGAGCTCGAAGGCATCACCAGGGCGAAGGATTTTGCTGAGTATGGCAATTTCCCCATAATTATCGTAGGGGGCAGATGACTCTTATCGCGGCGCCGAAAGGGGTTCGAATGGAATGATAACCCTTGGATTCTCCGTCAGGAACGCTCACATCAACGTCTCTGTGATAGACGATCCCGCCTCGCTGGCACGAGATCGGGGCGAAGTGGCTAATGAAGATACGATTGTCGTTTTGAATAAAATTGATCTCCTTCGTGGCTGCACTAGACAGCCTGGCATCGATTATGCGGTGTCGTGCGCCACCGGTGCGGGTATCGCCGAGTTAACGGACGGCATCATTTCGAGACTACGCTCAAAGTATGCACCCGACGCCCCGCCGCTAATCGTGAGGGAGAGACAGCAAGAACTCATTCAGGTACGAATTCTCTCTCAGTTTCTCGAATCGTCATTCGAGGAGATCACGTCTTAATCGAAACGGCGGACAACCTGTATTTTTCGGAGCTGCTAATTTCCCCCTTCTCCCTGCTCTCTTTCTGGATTCAGAAACTTCGACTGTGAGAGGCTGCATCTCAGACTAAGCCAAGCTTCTTGTTTTCCTCTCCAGAGTGCTCTCGAGAACATCGAAATGTGTCTCGCCGACGAGCTCTGCGCAGACGCTGTCATCTCTGCGGAATTCCTCCGAAGAGCAGCCATGGATCTCGGCCGCATCACCGGAAGAGTCGAGACCGAAGACATCCTCGATATCATTTTCAGTCGTTTCTGTATAGGTAAATGAGAGCGTCAATAAATCTCTCCGATTGATTCCGCTGATGAACATCCCAGGTGACGCAATCTAATTGAAAGATGAATCGAGAAAACTTCGAACTCGATACGGACGGACAGAGCCGCCCAAGGAGACCGCGAAGAGCATGAGCAGCAGATTTTCGTGGAACCATCTTCGCTCGCTCTGCTCTAGCTGTTTAGATGGAGTTCCCAGTGAAACGCCGAGAGGAAGGACGCTCGTAGATATTTGACACTCGGAAACTGTCATTTCCCCCGGGGACTGGACATTCTCATTGATTCGATATCGGGACAAGTTCTGGGAAAATATTTGTCCGGAGGTGACTCCTTGGTGAGACTTCCAAATGGAGGTTGCCTTTCCCCATTCTTCGATTCAGGATCAACTCAGGATCAAGCTCTCGGCTGAACGAGGCCGCAGGTCCATGGAACATGCTCGAGTCGATCAGAATTTTCCCCCTTTCGACTTGATCCCTCCCCCCTAACCCAGAATCGTGATTAGACGAACAGGTATCGAGTTCGAGTGAGCTCCCGAAGAATGCCGGTCAGATTCGCGAAGCCATCGCGCAATAACCGCATGCAGTGGAGGCGAGTCTTGAGGTGCCGTGTGCTTTCTGATCGGCCGCTGTCTCTCCTCTCCCATGAGTCTATGAACGAGACAAGTTCAGATGCGCTCCCTCGAATCTCTTATTCGCTTCGCACCCACGAAGAGGAGGTTTCGACACCAACGGATCCGTAGTTTCTTTTCGAAAGCATGGGAGCTGATTTCGCCAATACGTCGCATCGCCCTCTGTGATCGGTTGCTCGAGGGTCCTTTATACGGGAGAATAATTCGTGCCCAATCGTGAACAGCGTGGAGCCCTCCGTATTACGCGGGAGAAATATTGTCTGAAGTGACGTCGAACCCGGAAATCGGGCTAATCATCTCAGCCGAGAAGAGCAACATGCTCAAATCGAATTCATCGCCAGTGGTATCGGTGTTGGTCTTTCTGATAACCGTCAGAGGCGCGCGTTCGGCCCCGACTCCTGGAGCCTTCGACGGAGCGCAAGCCTCAACCGGCGCCGCCGTCTCCGGTGAGTCCCGAGCTCCTGAGCTCGTCTTATCGAATCCAATGACGATCCCCTTCAGTTTCGAAACGAACGAGATTAATGTGAGTACAAATTACAGAGCCCAATCATCCGATCGCTGCTCCAGTCGACGAACTTGTGAGTGGTGAAATCATCCTGAACGGGACACTGCTTGACAATGAAGCGCTACAGCGAACTTTCTCATCTGGCAAATCGCGGTGCGCCTTGAAAGTAGTATGCTATTTCAATGCTCAAGAGGAGCTCAGGGCGGAGACCTACAGCGGCTGGCTATCCCGTCACATGCAGTAAGTTATTGCAAATAGCGTACCTAGTTCTCATTCGGGAGTCCGAGTGAGTTGATCAAAGGAATTCTCGACGCTGATCCCCGAATGGGCCACATTTCCTGACTCCTCTATTTTCAGCAATTTCTGGGACATGCTCCTCGGTGAGCGAGAAACCCCAGGGGTAACACGGACCCACGGTCATCAGGGCTGTGTTCTGAATTATAATACGTGTCCGATGTCGATCCTCAATGCGGTGCAATTGGCGATGAACCTACAGCGGTCTGGAAGGGAAGCGAGAGAGCTCACTTCATCGGAATAGGGGCGGATCTTTTCAATAAAAAAAAGTTCTTCTTGCAAGCTTCGATTTCAAAGACTTCTATTGAATTGGTATGATCCGTAGGGCTTTCTATAAAAGCCTTCCAACATTTCGGTGTTAACCGTCTCAAGATATAAGCGAGGTTTCTCCGAGTCTGTTCACTCCGTTTTCTCAGACGGGATTCTCTGGCGTGAATTGATTCATTGGGAGCGAGAGAACGAAGAAAAAAAAACTGTTCGCTCTGTAATACTAGATATTCAACCTCAATATCGCTTATATCTCGGCGCGACCCTTCCGCGAGTCAGCCATGGCTTCCTCCGAGCTTTGTAGAGTATCATTGCGCAGCGGCTTCTCCATAATCTGTAAATCTGTTTCGAGCTCCGTTCGATCTCACGCTTGATGGTGCCGTCTCCCCGCAGTTCTTACCGACCTTATCGGCTAATCGCAAGGGCACAGCGTGCCGCTCCGGGCGAATTTCTCGGGGCCAGAATCAAGAGGTTCTGCTCTCGAGGAAGCGGTGTATCCTTCGCCGATCCGTGGCTCAGGTGAGATAATTGAGACGGAAAAAATACCCGCCGAGGACTGGCAAGCTCCAAGGATAACGTCGCGCCCCCCCTGCAAATTTAGCTTGAAATCATTCTTTCCTCCCGCGAAAGTTCGCCTAGACCATCCCTCACAGCGTTTCGACCCAGAGCATGATCAGAAGAGACAAGGGCAGTTCAATACAGATTGGAAGCTATTTATTGTTCGACGAGCTTCGGCACACTGTAAACAGGAAACGCGGGGAAGATTGCGATATGACACACCAAGGAGGATGAAGTCCAGTATTCTAGACACTTCCCCGAAGCAGGTGTCTCGGGTTCACTGCGGAAATCGTTCTAAGGTCCGGAGTGCTTGGAGGCTTGGCCGAAACTGCAAGCCTCGCTTGGGAGATCTTTCGATAACGCCTTGATCTCCATCTTCCGAAAATCGCCCAGGATTCGAAGCAAGATCTCCGGCGCCCAGCCATTTTGTGAGGCCTCTCTCTCCCGTTTGCAGAACCAGAAGAACAATCAAGCGCTGGAATTCGGATTTTTCAGCGAGGCGGAGGCAGGCGGAGGTGCATGGCTCGAGTTTCGATCAGAGCTGCGGACCGGGTTCCTACCGAGACCGACAGATTTCTGGAACAGATTTCTAATTCATAGAGGCTTTGGATATTAGCGAATCGAAATAGGTTACCAATATCGGGATCGCCTCGCCGAATATAGCGGGAGCTGCTGAAAGAAGAGTCTAAGCCCCGCTCTCCGATGAATGATTTACCTGATTTGCGGCGAGATCCCCGTAGATTTGCCTGATCCGCGCCATTCTTCTTAAATCGGCTCCAGCATCATATACGTTGGGTTCATTATCAGATTCGTCCTCCGCTGACTCGCCCTGGTGTCCGAATGCTCGGGGGAGGTCGTCGATCTCTTTCCGAACGACCACGTTTTCGGGAACGTAGTTCACAAACCAATCGGACATCAGGCCAAGCACGCGGCCCGCAATCGACGCCTTCATGATAGCTACTGAAAAGCCTTTGCGGCAGAGCATAATTCGTCTTATCGGTTCCGAACCCCGGAAAATATAAAGCTTGCCATGAAGAAGTCCTTGTGATTGTGAGAAGCAGTACTCACCGAGAAGTAAATCTGAAGCGGAGAGAAAGAATGGAGCTCCGACTCCCCCGATCGGAGCAGAAAGGACGTCGCTCATACCGGAGAACAGGATCGTGACGATCAGGAAGGATCTAGTCCTTTGGATCCTCATCTCCCGTGAGGTATAGAAGGGGCACCTCGCGAAGCGGAGTACTGGAGGACGAGTGATGTCCAAACTTGAGCACCGGATAGGGATCGTCGTTCCTTGAAAAAGTTTCTCCCAACGTTCTCTCTCTAGGCTGTTGTACTTCGTACGATCCATTGCTGGGGCTCTGAAAACCCTCCAACACCGTTCACGAGACGCGGTGCAGAAGATTCTTGAACACCTCCCATTCACTCGCAACACCTGATCAATGAGAATAAGACTCGGATGAGCATGTTTCGGTCTCGAGAGTTAGATCACGAGCGTTGGAATCTTGATCGACAGGACTTCTTTATCATCGGGGTGGATAACCCTTGTCTCACGGATCCGGAATTCAGCAATGACGAGCTCTCACGAGAACGATTCAAAGGGGTCCTCGCCATCTGCGGATGATCGCACTCTCTATAGGTCCTATTGAACTCCATCGAACGCGGCATGCGCTGAGCGAGTCCTTAAGAGGCAGATCTGCAGCCGGGTGAAAATTGGTGCCGTTCAAAGCGGACCGTCTGAAAGGTCGGGGTTCGGAACCCACAATTTCTGCTCTGGTATAGATGTGCGCATCGTTCGGATGCAGGGGCTCGCTCGGTCCCATCAAAATCATTTCATACACGACACTGCCGGTGGTGATAAGAACCCATGGCTCGAGAAACGGGTGGGACTCGCTCGGGATTGCCGTGCAGACGCTCTGCCTCTGAGCGATAGAAAGTGGATTTCGACTTTTTTCTTCTCGACCAGACAGTGGAGAGATTGAGAGGATTCCGGAGCCGAGGAGGTATCTTGAATGAGACCTCAGTTCCTACAGAGTCGCGACAGAGGAGACTTCGAGCTAAGATAGCGTGAGAAAAGGGCTGTACTCAAGCTTACAATCAATCTACTGACATGAATGCTCCGAACGCGTTATATGTTCTCTTGCTCTCTCTGACGATCGTGACCGAGGTGCATTCATCACGAGCCAATCAGACGGCGGGAGAGTTTAATTTGCCTCTCGCGGAAATTATCAGAGGTAAGCATCGAGTGCATCGGGAACCAGTATAGATGATAAACATATGTCTCCAGACTCTTTAACACGAGGTTGTTTTCGGAAAATCAGTAGCATTGTTTCTCTTCAGACCATGGTGTGCCAGGAGCAAAACTCGCAGTCGCCGGAAGAATGTTGGGGATCATATCCGAGTGGTACGTCTCCAGGAATATGACCGGCGCACAGCCAGACAGGCGACTCGGGAGGGTTGGCGTGGAAGGTGGAGTGCGAGCTCGGGCGCCCGTCAGGAACGTCCGGAGTCCACCTCAGCAGAAGTAGCTATGACTAAGCTATGAATTAAACCAAGTGATTCGAGTTTGTGTCCCGTCATGAAGAATGAACCGACAATTAGTGCCGTGGACTCTGAAGCTTGTCCTTACTTTTCTTGGCTATGAACTCCAACAGAAGGTGTGGCACTGACTGTGGAGCTTCCCAATGAAGATACTAATGAATAATGAATCATTAGAAGGACACTGAGAGTCAACACGCACTTGGGGGAT